TCATGGTGGACTATGTGGTACAATCTGTCCGTAGGCGTCCCATTTCATCCGCCTCACCCAACCTTGACTTTGTTTGCCGATGCCTCTCTTACCAGGTGGGGAGCCCTATGTGCCAGTCTCTGTACACAGGGCACCTGGGACCACCAGGAGACCACCAAACACATCAATTACCTCGAACTCCCAGCAGTCTTCAAAGCCCTTCGATCATTTGAGGATACTCTCTGGTGACACATTGTGCAAATTGCCTTCGATAACATTGTCGCTGTATTCTATATAAACAAACAAGGCGGGACAAAGTCCACCCTCCTAGCCCGCCTGGCGATGCAACTGTGTGACTGGTGCATCCCCTGGGAGATCACCCTCCTCGCAGTTCACCTGGCCGGTACCAACAACGAGGAGGCTGATGCCCTCAGCAGGCAGATGTCGTTGACCCACAAATGGGAACTGGATTGTCCGACCTGCCATCGCCTCTTCCGGACTTGGGGTTTTCCGGACATAGACCTGTTTGCCACTCACATGAACAAGGTGCGCGAGATGTTCTGCTCCCGTGCCAGCATTGGCCTGGGATCAACAGGGGACGCACTCATGATCCCTTGGTCCAACACATTCTTTTATGCGTGTCCCCGATCCCACTCATAACGAGGGTCCTAGCCAAGATCGTCTACGATGGTGCCATGGGGATCCTGATCACCCCCTGGTGGCCCCATCAACCATGATTCCCTACTCTTCTCCATCTATCCAGCAGCACCTTTCTCTGCCTGAATCTCATACCTCATCTAATAACTCAACAGTACAGAGCTGTTCGTCACTCGGATCTTCCCTCACTCAACCTGACAGCCTGGCTCATTCGATGAACCACAGGGTCGGATTCGGGGACTCCTACACTTGTCTGACACCATCCCGATACAGCCTCTTCTTCCCCGATACTGGTAGACTCCTCATCGAATCCAAGTGCTCTCCATCCCGATATTCAGTTCATTCTCCAGTCTGCCCTAAGACCTACAACTTGCTGATCTTATGCAGCCAAATGCAGCGCGTCTTATGCAGTGCGTCACATCCTTTGTTGAATCCAACAGTTTATCGCTTCTTCGGCCTCTGTTAAGAATATCCTTCAATTTCTCTTATCACTCCATCAATCGGGACTTAAGCCATCGTCTATTAAAGTTTATACTGCTGCAATTTCCCACTACTGTGGATAGGTGCAGGGTTCTTCGGTTTTTTCTCATACCCTCATACGTCGATTCCTCAAGGGTTTACAGAACCTTCAACCACCACTTCGCCCAGTTATCCCTACTTGGAGCCTTTCGGTTGTTCTTCAGGCACTCACCCAAGCTCCTTTTGAGCCCCTGGCAACTACTGACTTATGCCTCCTGTCTTGGAAGACTGCCTTTCTCGTTGCAGTCACATATGCCAGAAGGGCAAGTGAACTCTGTGCACTTCGGATAGATCCTCCTTACCTTAACTTCCATAAGGAGAAAGTCGTTCTCCGTACTGATCTGGCATTCTTACCCAAGGTTCTGTCTCCTTTTCATATTAACTAGGACATTGTCCTACCAGCCTTTTTCCCTGGGCCTGCTACAGCAATAGAACGGTTGTTGCATTCTCTCGATGTTCATCGCTGCCTTGTCTTTTACAGGTCTCGCACGGAGTCCTTCCATAAATCTAACTACCTCTTTGTTAAATACTTGGACTATGATAAGGGCTCCCCTGTTGGTTTGCAGAGACTTTCAAAGTGGATCATCCAGACCAGGGGTCGGCAACCTTTAACACTCAAAAAGCCATTTGGACCCATTTCCCACAGAAAAGAAAACACTGGGAGCCGCAAAACCCTTTTGACATCTAAAATGAAGATAACACTGCATATATCATTTTTTTACCTTTATGCTATGTATAAAAAATTATAGTGTGTTGTATTTATGAAATCAATGAACTGCTACAGAGAAAACAATTTTTTATTTCTGCACGCAACAAAAACATTTTGAACTCCAAGAAAAAAAAAAAAAGACGCTTGGTTGAAGGTTACTTTCAAATCAAATAGTCAATGTCTATTTGAGTCCTCCTTATGAAATAAAAAGCCAAACTTAAATTATCCACCAGCAGCAAACCAAACATGCCACCTGCAGCAAACAAAAAATGCCGTCTGCTTCTGTGTGTCCTCATCCTTTTATCATGTGGTGAAATATTGAGCAAACATCCCCCTCCCAATGTAATAATGTTGCTGAAATTTTTATAAGAATCTTCTTAAAACAAGGAAGTAGATCTATATCTTCATTATGATTTAGCTGCAGCTCTTGTTCAGTCACTAAAAACTGTTATTTTTAATCTTACATTATAAACTAGTAGGATTCCTTTCATATATTTTGAATAGGAGAACAGCTTCCTGCAGAGTTAAAGTCAGTGCTAAAGGGCTCCATGCATTAAACAGCAAACCCCATAAGTTCCTCAGCAGTAAAAGCAAATGAATCTACCCACGTACCATTAAATGTTCGGTTTTCTTCAGAAACTTTTCTTCGATTTATTCATGGTTTGTGGGGGCGGGGAGCTCAGTAAATCGGAGCTGGGTGGCAGATATAGGTGTGTTTAGTGACTGATTAGCAGATAAATAGTCAAGTGATGTGAATTATGACAGGTCCCAAGTGCAACTTTTAACATTCAGATGAAGGAGATTACTTGGACAAAGAAAATCCTTTCAGCAACGTTTTGTGTAACATGAGAGCCTGCAGGAAGATTGTTCTGCTCTTTCCCTGCACGATAGCAGAGGAAATGTAACAATTTACTTAACCAGCCTAGTTGGCTGTGCCGCCGGTATTTTTAGCAAAGGAGCCTCAGCAGAGGGATTCAAGAGCCATGTGTGGCTCCAGAGCCGCAGGTTGCCGACCCTGGTCCAGACCATCCAGCTAGCGTATCAGCTCGCCAAGCTTAACTTACCTGTCACGCCCAGAGGGCATTCCACAAGGGCAGTAGCTGCTTCCTCTGCCTTTGCCGCTGGCATTCCGATTCAGGACATTTGCAAGGCTGCCACTTGGACTACTCCTTGCACCTTTGCCAAGCATTACCGCCTTGATATGCGTGCCAGACACGATTGCTCCTTTGGCCGGGCAATCCTTTCTTCTGTTCTTCAATGATGACACCACCTGCCTCCGGGTCTGGTAAGCTTGCTAATCACCCATATGTGTGACGCACAGAGGCCATGATGAAGAAAGGCAGGTTGCTCACCTATAACTGTCGTTCTTCAAGTGGCCGTCTGTGCATTCACACAACCCACCTGCCAGCCTCGCTCGGTGTTGGTGAATGGGTTTATACGGTACCGTTTCTCTTCGATAACGGTTTTGTTGGTAATTTTCTTCTCTCTGGTTTGGCAGTTCCCTGCAATATCTCTCGCTCCCGCAAGGGGGCGAACAATCAATCTTCAGTAGACTGAGGAAATGGCGGGCGCTCCACCCTTTTATACCGTGGGCAGGGGGGATGCGGAGTTCCCGCCAGAACTGTTGAGCTTTGAATCTTTCCAGCCATAGGCACTGCACAGGCGCAGCACCCATATGTGTGATGCACAGATGGCCACTCGAAGAACGACAGTTACAGGTGAGCAACCTGTCTTTCTCTGAGCATCATTATCTGTTCATTCACAGAACCCACCCAACACCCCCATTTTGGTGACTGTTGCACACAAAAGGGCAGATCAAAATTGGTACCAGTGTTCTCTTGGTTCTGAGGCTGGTCTCAGTGAACACACCAGCAATATAAGGGGGAAAGTTCCCTCCAAAAATTCCTCAGCTATAGTAACTTCCCAAATTGAGGCTCTGTGCAGGCACATAGACCACATGCGGTCTCTGCATATCATACATATAGACTTTGTGCCTGTGTGGAATCTCTGGGGAATTTCCATAACTGCTCATAAATGTTTATGATAGCTTAGTCCAGCAGGGTCAGTAGCTGGTTTCCAAATGTGAAACTTTTTTTGAGAGCAAATTCAGGGCAGAAGTTAATCAGTTTCTTGTAAACCAAACCTAATCAATCACTGCACTTTGGCTTAAAAAGGTTTAATACAAATGGCTGATCACTTAATATTTCACTCATGAATTAGATTATGGTTCTACTGTGGAAAATTGGAAGGTTTTAAAACTACAATAATTGTCTCCGCATGATCATTATCCGAACAGCTTTACTTTTTTTTATCAGAAATGGGGGTGGCATTAGAATATGGAAGGGATGGGATGCGATAGGAGCTGTGAGAAGGGATTATTTGAGACTGGATGAGCTATGGGTGAAATTTGTCATCATACAGTGATGTCACTGCATGCTGCACCATGATGTCATGCCATTATATAACATGCATGGACCATGATTGTTAAATGTAACACAGTCTATGCTGTCTAGTGGGGTGGAAGCCACAGTGCTGTCAGCTAGCAATAGGAGAACTCTAACCATAAGAAATTGCGGGGGTGGGGAATCTGATGGACAACTGAAAGATAAACATGACAAAAATTTCAATATGCTATAAGAGGAACACAAAGGCACCAAATGAGAAAAACTGCCAATTCAATATAGGTGGAAGTATATGTGCGCCCTCTCTCTCTCTCTCTCTCTCTCTCTCTCTCTCTCTCTCTCTCTCACACACACACACACACACACACACACACACACACACACTCACTCTTCCACTGAAATGGCAACATGAACTTAACTACTATATCAAATTTTACTTGCAGCATGTTTGAAGAGTTTCATTCTTACTTCACTAATGCATCCAGTAAAGTATTCCCTGCTAGACCCCCATAGGGGATTGTACTTTCCAAGCTTGCTTTGAGTCATGCTATAAATAGATCCCAGGAATCCAAGGGAGGGGAAGATGGTTCATTACTGGGCTTCATGCCAACTTTTGTGAGACCATCATCTTTTGACATGTATTACGTGAAGGCCTTCTGGAATAACATCCAGCCTGGGTTATGTTTAGCTGACAGGTTCATTGGCCAAGCAAAGTCAGATGGTATAATTGTCTGGTCTGGGGAGGGTGGGTTGGAGAGAGGTACAGGAAGGCCCTTGACTTAGGACAGCAAAGCGGAGACCTGCCTGTCCTCCAAGAAGGGGACAAGGCCTTCATTGAAGACACTGTCTGACTGACAGGGTTACTCGGCACCCTTAGCTTCCAACATGATTCCCTGGTGGAGGGCCATTCAGCTGGTGGTCCCAGGAAGAAATCTAGCAACAGCAGCCACTGGTGGACAGCATGGGTCAAGTGGTAAGTGGCTTCAGTAATCAACAGAACCTATACAATAGATTATTGCAGAATTCTTTTGTTTTAATCTGGGTTGGATGACTGTTCCTACAATTTCAATATCTGCCTGTTTTTTTTTATGCTTTTATCATGATGGTCAAGGACAAAGTATACACTTTTAAATACATTTAAAAACATTGTTTTACACTGGGACAGCATATGCTATGCTCAATATATATTGAATTATCCTTTGTTTCATGCTTTCATCTTCCCTCTCCTTCATGTTTTCTAGTTCAAAGGCTCTTTCATTCTTTTAACTCCAAATTTTAATAAGCATATGGTTTTGTGCTGTGATATTGCAGAATGTACAGGTTGATGTATTTTTGGTGGGATTTCTATCAGGTGTGGAGGAGTGTCTTTCCTCTGAAGAAGTACATTTTGGAGTTTCAACATCTCCCATTATTTAGCTTCTTGAATGCTTTTTTCCTCTTGTGCTCCCCCACACCCAGTACATAATTAACTGGAATGCAGTATCTATTACTTTCTTTTTAGGTTCATGTTTTTAGACTATGGTGGGTTGGGTCCAAATTTAAATGCATGCAAATAAACTGATAAAAGAGCAAATTAGCTGCTCCTTTTAGCCCCATGAAAATGGTGAATGGGGGAGCGAATTCCAAAAAAATCAGATAGAGGCAACATTCATCAACAGAAATTTTTCCTCCATGGAAAGCAAAGACACGATCCTACCCAAATTTTGAAATATTTCATCACAAAAAAAAAAAAAGCATGAAACCGACCTTGACAATGTCCTTTTGGCAGTTAGAGGGCACTATACCACCGAGGGTAAGTGTTTAGCAGTAAGTACTGAGTTTTAGAGAGCCAAAGGTGCCAATGATCCAGGAGATTTGTTTCCCAAGGAAAGTGGGAACGTCATCTGCTATAGTTTATCTTCCTGCAATGTAGGCCGAACATGGAAGATTTTGTCCTTTGTTGTGGCATTACCGGGAGTGGCTGTCTGCATGCTGAATGCATGGCTGCAAAAGAAAAACCACCCCACTGAACGACCTGAATTTATCCCTTATCACCACCTACGTCTGCGAACAAAGGTAAGAATGTAACAAGAGGTGGTCTGACTGGTCAGGGAGGCTTGTGCTGATCTACAGCTTTTCTATTCCCACATATAGTTCTGGGCTTCTCCATGTGCCCTAGCCCTCTGAATGGAGGTGGGTGGTGATTAGAGATAGTAACACCTCATCTCTGAAATGTTCTTTGGAGTTATGAGGCAGATAAACTTGTGGCATTGCTTTCTTAATTGTGTTCTCTCTCTTTTCCCCAGCCTTTCCCCTGGGGTGATGGAAATCATACCTTTTTCCACAACCCTCACACCAACGCACTCCCTACAGGTTACGAAGAGGAAGCTAGTATCCACCACTGATCCAACTGTACTCTTTTTCTCTCTGCTGTGGGAGGAGAGGAACAGGTCTTGGTATTCCTTAGTTACTTTGAGACAGTTTTTCCTTTCTAAGGAGAATGAAACAATAAATGGATGAAGCATCTTCTTGGTATTTAAGATTGTATTGCACTGGAGGTGGTTTGGGGAACTTTTTAAAAAAAGTGACACACTGCTGCCAGATATTCTGTGGGATAAGAGCAATGACAGAGACAGTTGAGGGCTAGTGGACTGAAATACAAAGTATAACCAAGACTTCTGGGCTCAGCCTTTACATGTACAAAACTTCTAGAAGAAATCCCTCCTGGAAGTCAGCAGAAAGAGACAGCAGGAATGGATTTCTCTTCTCCATCAAAAGGCAAGGCTTACACAGTGGATACATAACCTGCCTTGTGAAGAGAAATCCCTTCATATTGTTTCTCTGCCTTAGTCTGTGCCTAAGGTACCCTTAGTAATAACTATTGAGAAAAATTTGAATTCTTTGTAAGGTTTCTGATGCTCCTGCTCATGCTGGCATCCTTTCCAATTTACAGGTGCTAAAGCCCCACATTTTAATATAAAGTGTACTTTGCTCAACGTAATTATTGAAAAAATAAGACTTACATTTGCATTTAAATTGAAAATACTAAATCCAGTATGCTGCATCACTGTGAGAAGAATAAACTACAATGAGACTTAGACCAGCTGATTTTATAGCAAGGGTGGATTGCAGAAAGAGTGACTTGATGTCAAAATGCAGTACACAAGTAATAGTCCCATCAAATGTTGTGTCTAACAACTTGAATGCTATAGCAATATGCAGGTATTTGCTTATTGCTGCTTCCAGGATCCAGGTATTTGCAAAACATTTCTCAATTTCTCAGCAAAACCTTCAAGCACCAGAGGATGGAGACAGATTGCTGAGCTATAGGATAGGATAATTGCAATGGAAAAGAGAGAAGGAAATGTGCAAGATAATTACTCCGTGACCACTCAGCTTGGTTCAGCCTACCCTCTAGTGGCTAAGTTGGCACCAAGCCCTGCCTATGCGCTTCATTTTTCTACATGCATAAAGATGAGACACTTTGGTGAATACATTTTTCTCACACAAACATTTCTTCAACATATGATTTCTCTTTATTCTGTCTAGGCACCAGGGATTAGAATCCAAGATTCCTAGCTATCAAAGCCATGGCAGGCATATTTTCCTGTGAAGACAGCCACTCTGTGTAAGAAATAATGTATATAACTCAACTTCTGTGGTGGCTTTCAAGTGCATACACAGTTGGAGTTTTGGCTGGGAGCAACTTCTTGGCATGTGTGCCTTCATTACACATGTATTAGTAGCAGGTTGTTTCCTACCATAAAAGTGCTTTCTGTATAAGAAACTGCTGCATATGATGCAGCTGTCCTTTTGTTCAGTGCAGTGGCCCATTTAAGTTTTGTGGGTATTGCAGATGTGATCTTGCAGAAGGCACTGGTCATGGAACAGTTATCCTTTGGTGGAAGCAGGACTAGTGCTGATGTTGCTGTTTTCTGGAGGCCTACCCCCCTCGGTGCTTTCGGCTCCTGTTTCATCCATCTTATATTTGTATGCTCGTTTGAAGAATCCAAGCTGGAAAGAAAAGGTGAGAAAACTCAGGTGAAGATAATTCTGTCTGAAGAAAATGGATACACAATAGGGAAAAGCTAATTCTGAAGATGCATCCAGAGCAGACAATGAATCAAGTTCAAGGCATACTCTGAGCAATGTTATTTAGGATAGTGACTATTTCCTTCTATCCTGACACCTCCCTGGGGGACCCTGCTTGATTCACATGCGAAAAAGCTACAACTCTGCAGAAGTTCCCTCAAGTTCCTCCTGCAGTCATTTGCTTACCTTGTATAGAGCAGCAACTATCAGAGCGAGAAGGATAAGTCCACCAACACTGCTGCCAATAATGATGGGTACATAGTTGTAGGCCTCCAAGTACTCCACCACAGTCTTTGCCTACAGGGTAGGAGGGATGGAATCATGAGAGAACACCCAGAGACTCTGACCGCATTCATCAGCTTTAATTCAGTAGAGCCCACTCCTTGTTCAGAGCTACAAAAGTTAGGCAGCAATCACAGCTCCCTTCCAGTCTAGTTTGTTTTAACCCTAGACCACACCCCTCTTCCAAAGGAGCTAGGAATTGAAGTTCCCAGATAAAGCCAGTGAGTGATACTTTCTGGGGGTGTGGGCAGTTTACCTGGCTCTGTGCAAAGCCCTCATTTTGGACATATTTGTTATTGTCATAGAAAATCTGTGCTGAGCTCACCAAGGTCACTCTCTTCTGCTGGGTCTGAAAGACAGAGATAAATGTTCAGCGATGGGAAAACTGGTTGCCTGAAAGGTTTCTGCAGATCAAGATCTGCAAGGAGCCGCTGGTGCTTATGCAAAAATGGCTTTGTTAGGACAAGGATACAGATGACTGTTGGCATATTTACACTAGCAAAATGTTGGCTTTATACCAGTCAAGTGATCGGTCTCCCCAAAATAATTCTGTTAACCATGATTTGATGAGGATACTTAGTTTTATGTCCACAGTTTTCATCACAGAAAAACAGTTTTACAGTTCCATTTGTAGATCTGGTTTATGATACAATCGATTCTGGGGCAGAGCACAGAAGTATGTAAACATATTCCAAAGAAAAGGCATTCATGCCCTTCCCATTGGCAGGGTCCATGGCTGGGTCATAGGCAGACAGAAACAAGACAAGAGCAACAGAGGCACCAGGATGAGGGCAACAGAACTTCAGGAAAGACAGAATCCAAAAGCAAGGTTTAAGAGAACGTCCAAGTCATACTTCAGGTATAGGCTGTGGTCAAGAACCAGAAGAATGCATGAAGGCAGAACAAGGACATGGATTGGAACAAGCCAAGGATCAAGAAACAGGAACAAAAAGAGGCCCAATTACCTTGGACAGGATAACAGGACAGGAAGCACAGCACAGCAGGATACACGGCAAGGCAAGACACAAGAGACAACACAAAACGGATACAGCAAGGATCAGTAAGAGGCAGCAGCTGAACTGCAGCACACAGGAAGCCCAGCATTACTGAGGTAACACAGTGAGGCAGGATACACAGACAAGACAAGATATAGGTCAGGCAAGAGGCAGGCACAACAGCAAGGCACCATGGGAAGGCAGGAACCAGGAGCAGGAACAGTCGGGCAGGATGCAGGCACAGCAGCAAGCAGGAGGACCTGTACTGCTGAGGGGACACAGCAAGGCAGGAGACAAGACAGTCAGGCAAGGTGCAGGCACTGCAGCTAAAGGAAGACCTGTGTTCCTGAGGCCAGTTCTGGGGAGGAAAAAGCTTGATCTTATATAGGTCTTCCCCCAGAACTTCCAGCTGGCACTCATCAGTAGACAGAGAACTCCAGCAGGCCTTGGGACTAATCATGTGAATACAGTGGTGGTGGTCATTGTTCTGGTTCTGACCACCAGAGCAGCCCAGTTCCTGACACCCATTGCCCGATGTAATAAAACCCAGCAGGATCCTTCATACCTGTTTCACCAACTTGAAGTCAATGTACCCTTTGATCGTGAACTCCAGTGGCTGCTGCAGCTCCAGGGACAGAATGTCACAACGGATTGTTTGACAGGTAGCCACAGAGCAGTCCTGGAAGGAGGTGGAAGAATATATTGGGTCAAGTCATAGGAGTACTGAGAATGAGTAAGACTATCCTGTGTCTTAGAGAGCCATCCCATTAGGTCACCATTTATCCCTTCATTCTAGCTATTTAAGATGCAACTGCTGACTTCTTAGTGGAGTATACACACCAGAACAGGATGCTCCTTTAGCTGCTTCACAAACTCCTTGGACCCAGGAGTCTTTTTTTCAAAGACACAACTAGCCAGATGGAATTGCTGTGAAAAAGGAGAGAGAATCAGACATTTATCATGGGTCATGTGAGGCATTATTCCTCAGTAACCCAGTACTCACAAAAAGCTCAAAAGTTTTGAGGCTTAAGGAACAGGTCATGCAAGCCTTCCTTAAATAACTCATCTCTTTTCTCCATGGGATACTGCTCAGCTAAGCAAGGCTGGTGGTTTGAGGCCAAAGCCACATGCAAGAGTTCACTTAACACAGATCAATCAGCACAGCTCAACTACACTGAGATTGAACAGCAGGCTAAGGAAGGTAGAACCTTAGCCTATCTCATACCTATGGGTAGAGTGCAAATTCTAATTCTTATTTGCTTACTGTAAGCATGGATCCAGAATGTAAGAACTGCCTTGCTGGATCAGATCAAATAGCCAGCTAGTCCAGTAGTCTATCTAGTAGTGGCCAGTCAGATGCTTCTAGCGGGGTCCTAAGCAGACCACAGGGCCATCCTCTCCTACTTAACCCCAGCCCCATAGCTGGAAATGCAGCCTCTGGGCATTCCAATCGGTTCCATATGGTCTCAGAAGCATATACCTCAGGGGGCCTGTCCACAGATGCATTCCAAACTGGTACACCATTCAATTGCACAGGAAACTGAAACTTCACTGAGACAGGAACCTTTCGCTGATATGTGTTCTTCACCTGGATAAGAAAGATCTTGTGTGAGTGTGAACAGAATCCCAGCATTCCAGCATTCAGCTAGTTCACTCTTAGCTCTAACTAGAAGACATTTTCCCTTGTTTTCAAATGTGTGCTATACTACTAGGCCAGAAATGTAGCTGCTGTGTAGATGTGTAATTTGAGTCTAAGACCTGAATCTTCTCCAGCAGGGGTGCTGAATATCTTTCAGACAAATTCTGTTGCAGGGAAGCTCTCTAGGGCCAGTGGTGGGCAGGGCTGACGGCAAAGGGGCCAGGGCCAAAAATTCCAGTATGAAGGCTTAACGATGTTACTAAGTTATGGGAGAGACATTTCAAACTTTTTGAATGGGAAAATTGCACAAATGCCAGAAGAACAAATGATGGGAGAGCTGGAGGGAAAGACATGAGCCTGGGGAAGAGAGATGACCATCCAGGGAAACTCAGAAGGCTGTCTTGGGACTCCAGGTCTGAGTTGCTGGACTGTGCCCTACATCTGATACAAGTACACTGCTTGCCTATTCCATGCCTTTAATCTCACAGTGCAGCACATCTTGCTTACCTTATAATGGTGTTCTACAATCTCATTTCTATCTTCCTGGCCAGCAGAAAAATTGACATACTTGGTTGATTCATCAATACTGGAAGAGAAAAGGTAAAGGTCTGTATAATCAACCAGTCACCCGGGGTTTACTTTAATGCATTTCAGTAGTTATTTGGCAATTAAATATATTCCCACAGCAATTCAAAAGGAAACAGTATATTTCAATGGCCATGCCATTTAGCTTAGCATGTGCTTAGCATGTGCTTAGTTGTATATACTGTGTCAGAACCAAGACAAGTAAATAAGGCTACAGTCTTAATATTATGTATATGTTGAATTCAATAGGATCTACCTCTGAGCAGACATGTATAGAACTGCACTAATAGAGTTAGGAAAACTACGCTATAGGACTGCTCTGTAGGGTAATAGCAAACAAAGCAAACTTCTGGCCAGCTATTTTGCAGTCAAATCTGAAATGGCAAATCAAAAGATTAAGAGACTGATATTCATTAAGCCATAATTAGCCCCCAGTAAGTGCTAATGTTTTGTTGTTACATGCCATCATGTCTCCCTCTTCTGGCAACCTTATGAATGAAGCCCTTCAAAATGCCCTGTTCTTGACAGCCCTGCTCAGCTCTTGTAAACTCAAGGCTGTGGTTTCCTTTATGGAATGGAGCCATCTCATAGTTCATCTTTCTCTTCTGTCTTCAACTTTCTTTAGTTTTGCTGTCTTCTCCAGTAAGCCTTGCCTTCTCATACTGTGCCCAAAGTATGACAGCTCTAGTTTTGCTGCAGTTGTTTCCAAGGCTAGCTCTAGCTCTGGGTTTAGGACTCATTCTGTCAGTCCAAAGCTTTCTTCCAGCAAACATGGCTCCAGAAGTTTCCTTTGGAGCAGGAAGTAAAGGTGCCTAATCAGCTCCCACTGCTGTGCTTCAGGGCATGAGCCTGTTTGTGCAGCAGACTATTTGACAGCTGTGACAAGCCAAGCTTGGCTCTTAATTATGGCTGTCAAGTGAGGACCCTCATCCTTCCTTGTGTTGTCTCCTGGGATACAGCCTGGAGGAATGAGAGTGACCAGTGCAGAAAAGAGCCTACAATCAGCCCAATCATCTGTCAGGCTCATTGTGGCTTCCTGGCACTCCAGGATAACCCATCATGGTAATTTATGGTGATGGGTTGTCCTGACATGCACACCTACCCACTGTCCACAAACATCTTGCTCTGTATTGCCAGCAAGAGCTAACCTAATCAACAGTTCTTTTTCTGTGGAAAAACCCCTTGAACTTTCTTCATCCTCTGGAGTTGACAGTCTTTGGAGGTGAAACAGATGTAGAAGTGAGGTGAAAGTTAGTAATTCTGGAAAAACTACAACTCCTGTCTCAGCATTTAGTGGGTGAAATTTATTGTGCTACCAAGAAATTGATGACCAGAATAATCAGCAAAAGAGCATGGCAAGAATCAGTTCTTCATACAGAGAGATAATCTCGGGCAAATGGACCTAAGAGAACAACCTGTTGGTTGTGTAAACAAGACCTCTGAAAAGAGAGGGCCAGGCATGGGAATAGCTGCAATCACATACGCGTTGATGAAGACATATATGGCATATTTTACGGGTAGCTTCGCTCGGTGAACCATGTCCTGTGTGGTGGGGCCATTGTTTTCACTGGAAAAAAAGACATAGGTGAAGTGTACATCAGAATACATATGATAAATATCACAAATGTCATGTTCCCAGTGGGCTGTTGTCCCACACCAATGCCCTGCTATAGCATAGATTTTGTCAGCTGCCATCAAAACTGAGTATCTCATCACAGAGCAGCTGCTTTTCTTTGAATCCCAAGGCGGGTCAACACAATACTTCGGTTCCAGACTTTCTCATACTCAGAGCAGGCTAACCTAAGTCCCACTGATTTCAGTGTGTTTGCGTTACGTATAATTCCCTTATATATTTGGGGCTTCTTTAGGTATGCTTCTTTATTATGATAATTTGAAGGGCCTTGACCCAATGTTGTCATCCACCAGGGCCTATCCTGTGCTTCCCAAGCATTTATCTCCTTTTTTTAAGAATGTGGATAACAAGCTATGGTTTAGGTATCACACTAAGTTGTGCTAAAGAACACACATATGTATATTGGTAATTGTGCTGTATAGCAGCACTACCTTGTGGTAGTTTAAAGGAACATATAGGAAGGTGGAGAAAAAAGAAACCTGAAAATAAAGGATGGCCTCTTACTTCTGCAAAAACTGGAAACAGCAACCTTGGTAAAATACTGTGATAAATACCTTATGCAGAGAAGCCCTTACGGTTGCAGTTCCATATCTGCTTACCTGGAACTAGCCCATCGCATTTGAGGGGGCTTAACTTCTGTGCAGACTTCACAGTAAAGATTTCACTGTAAACCAGTTTAGAAGTGGTTTGCCACTATGGCTGCTGATCTGAGACTGGTTCAAGATGTCATATAGGAACACTCCTGCGTCAGGCACAATAACCCTTACCTGCTGGCTGTGGCATTGATCTGCACCTCATGCCCTATATCTGCTTCTTGCGAGACAGAAAAGGTGACAATGAAGGTAATCTGAAACAGAAGAAGATGCAAAAGATGTGTGAGAGGGTTGTAGGATAAGGCAGATTTGCACTTCAAACTTAATTCAATTTTACATTCCGGTGATAGTTGTCCCTTGAATGAATTCTGACAACTGTGGCCCTCACGGGGAGCTGGCCTCTCTCTGACCTTGCTGTTCTTTATCCTTGGATTGTAGAGATTTCCCAGAGTGCTTATGAAACAGGCACACTCCACCCACCCCTCCATGAGGAAACCATCATTTGTGTTTCTGCTTTCCACTTCTTTGTCTTCTGTTTGAAAGGAGGCAGGGACAGCACAGAACAGTGACTCATGCAAGGACACAACAGACAGCCCCTTGGAAGGTATCTCTCCATCAAGAACGATCTGCTCACACACTATGTCTGTCACAAAGAGGAAGGTCAAGATCTCTTCTTGCTGATGCTAGAGTGTAGGGCACGGAAAAATCAACACAAGTTGCAACAATCCAGATTCAGGCCAGATATCAGGAACAACTTCCTCACTGTCAGAGCAATATGATGGTGGAACCAGCTGCCTGAAGAGGTGGCGGGCTCTCCCACACTAGAGCATTCAAAAAGAAACTGGACTGACATCTGAGTGGGATGGTGCAACTTGATGTCTTACAACAGCAAGGGGTTGGACTTCATGCCCCCTTCCAACTCTACTATTCTATGATTCTATATGTAAATATGGCTGAATCAGCAACTCGTGAAGGAGGCTGGTTGAAACAAGACAGAGCCAGAGCAGTAACTCATACAGAAATACAGTATTAGCTCCCAGTGGGTTAGGACCTGGACTCTATTTGTCCTTATGATACACATTGGCAGTTCTTTTATGATAAACTGTGCAAGGGACATTGACTGTAAGAATGACTGGCATAGCAGTGCTGTTATCACTCATAGGTGGAATATACAGTGCTCCTTAGGAGATCTGCAAACACGGTGTGTTTGCAACAACCACTGAATCCCTTGCGAGGCAGATGACATGGTGGGGTTGGGGGGAAAGATTATGGTAGGATTTGTTGTCTGAATTCTGTTACAAACATTTGTAAAGTGCAGCCCCTGACACAAGGGCTGGGTGCCACTTGATGCTCTGCTTTGGGCAGCAAAATGTGTTGGGTGGCACTGACACCCTGAGTCTGTAAAACCAAAATTGATTGGCTTTTTGACAGACTGCACATAAGAGACCTTGCTGGCATCATAGGAACATACAAGGATGGAGCAACTGTCTACAGATTTACTCTGAGAATATGTATTAAGTAGAGATGACCAACATGTTACTGGAAGGACTTTACCTCAGCCCCACTTCGGAAGATTGGGTGATTGATGTAACATGCAGTGATCTTCACAGGTTCATCCTCTGCAGCAGAGATGGAGGCATATTTAATGACCACGTACTTCCTGTTGGTCTGATCAGTGGAGGACCAGAATAAGAAACTGTTCAAGGAGGCAGGTAGTACCCACTTAGGCCACCTCTTACTCCTTGTTCCTTGACCCCTTGGGTTTCCCTTTGCCTCTCATACCTGTAATAGTGTGAATTTGCGAAAGGACAGTGCTGAAGGATATGAGAAGGTCAATGTGGTGTTGTAGGAATCTTCTCCATCATTCCGGATGAAGACTGTAGCATTCAGCTCAAGGGTCAGGCCCACTACCAGTGTATGCAGGCTGAAGAAAAGAAGAGGGCCTCTTATATATCTCCAAAGGAAGAATTCTTGGGACCCAATTTTGCCTGGTATCCATTCCCTCTGAGTTGGAGGCCATGGAGGTCCAGTCCAGACATATGCAGAGGCCTTCAATCAGGAGGAGAAAGAACTCTACCCATATTCAACCTTCTTTATTACTGCTTAATGTATTCTAGAGATAGCCTGGTACTTAATTGACGTTCTGTACTTGGCTCAAGCAAAGCCTTGAAGAGAGGAAATCAGGAAAGAGGGGGCACCGTTTCAATCTGGTGAGCATATCTGAAATACTGGTATGTGGATATTGCAAATCAGGTATGCCTATTTGCAAAGTGACTTGTATGGTGCCCTGGGCCAGTCACAAGCATCTGTTCCACAACAGTGTATTAGCAAGGCAAAAGAGTACAAGAACACAAAATCACTCTCAAGTCACATTTCTGCCCTAACAAAACATTCATTTCACAAAAATACAACCTGGTGAACCTGAAATACAATTTGAACATGCACAAAACACACATGTGCACAGAGCACCCCCCTTGTTCTCCACTTTCCTCTCCTTGCACTTGCTCACTTTCCCTGCCCCTTTTCAGCCTCTGCTGTGTACCTCCTCTGCTTCTCACAATCCCACACTGCCTTTTCCAGCCAACCCCTGTAGCAGCTGCCATTGCCCTCCCTAACCTCTTACTCAACTTTCCAGGCAGCAGAAATGGAGGTCTCTTTTTCATTTTCAGGTGAGCCAGAGAACTCCAAAGGAAAGCAGCAGCTTCCTTCCTTCCATCATAAGAACCTGAGAAAAGCCATGCTGAATCAAACCAAAGGTCCACCTAGTACACACAGTGGCAAAACAGCTTTCTACAGGATCACTGAAGCAGGAAGGGTGAAAGACCTCCCCCTGCCCAAGCTCCTTGGCAACTGGGGTATGCAGGCTGCACACATCCACAGGCACCAGTGGAGGTGTTGCTGGTCATGTTGGTGCCTTCTGAACTCCTGCATCCTAGTGTGATGCTTGGGTAATGCCACAAGTATTCTGCCTTACAATGCTCTGAATGCAGAAACCGTGAACAGAAAATTGAGGCTCAGCAGTCCTGGGCATATTGTGCTGGGTAAAGAAGAAAGGAAGGAGAAAATGTCTCCTCTTACCCTGAGAAATTGAAGGAGGTTTTTAACATGTCTTTACAGATCCCATCTCTGCCACAATTCTTTTCAAATGGCAACTGTGAAGAAGGGATGAGGGGAGGGGTATACAAACAGTGTCAGTCTCTGAAGGAAATAAGAATTATGATTCATTTGGTGCTCCAAATTAATCAAATATTTGTTTCTATTTCACATCTTTCTCTGTAGATTTTGATGCCAGATTTTATTTTTCACATTTCTGTTACTTCCCCAAGTGAGGTTGGGTTGACACACAAACTTCCCTCATTATATTTCACAACAATCATGCCAGGTAGATAATCTGGAGGAAATGAGATGGAGCCAAGGTCACCCTGTGAGTTTCAAGGATGCTTGGACAACCCGAACTCAGATCTTCCCAGTATAGCACTGCACCCCACTAGCAGCGAGTGGCACTGAACAGCTGGCTAAGCCAAATCTAGTCAATTGCAATCTTCATTCAGTGGACTTTCCACATGAGAGCACTTTGCATTTGTTGAGGGAGAGCTTCAGGCAAGCCAGTTTTTGAGTGATGAAGTAAAAACTGAGAAAGTTTAAGAAAGTGACATCGTTGGGCACCACTTCTGTGCCCATGAAGCTCTGGCTGTCAGTTCAGTGCACTCTTATTCAGCCACACAAAGCTCAGGAAGCAGACCATGCCTGAACTTACCAATGCTGTGAAGTGATGGGGCTCATCTTCATTCAGGATGGCTCGCAGGTTGCCAGCAGTAGCAATAGGCTCTTCTATAAGGCTATAATTCACTCGGAGATTGATGGGTGTGAGGCTGTCTTCTATGCAGGTCTTTTGCCATGAGGAGGCAGAAAATAACAAAGTGAGAGGACCTGCTTGATCTTGTACATTTATCTCAAGTAGGACGCTGCCTGTACCCTCTCTTTGCTTTTCTACCTATACTGGAGTTCTGAACTCACCGGCAACTTTATGCGATGGTCCTTGCACTTTCTCATCGAGCCCACCTTCACCTCTTCAGTGATAGTGGAGGGGCTCAGACCTTCAACAAATGCAGCCCGAATTTTCATTCGACCATGATCCAAAGTCAAAGTGTACCGAATGGTACTCAAAATGCTGTTACCTGAGGGAGATGAATTGATCACAAATTAGGAAAGATTAGGATCAGGATTCCCAGGAGGGTTGTTTGGCAGCTTCTCCACAAAAGTCTTTTGGCCAAAAAAAAAAAAAAAAACCTTGGTGAATTTCTGATGCTTGCAGTTTTAGCAGAATGAAATGATTCCATGTAAACAAGACTCTGCATCTAAGAAGCTCAACAAGATTGTATAGGCCTTATCAGGAAACCATCTTCTTGACCTGCCTTCTGGTATCCCTTCTATCTCCTGAAGGGATGCTGGATCAAATGAAGGGTCCATATCAACATATGGCAGCGGTTTTCAAACTTTTTCATTCACAGAGAAATTTTTCCACATCAGTCTGTCTATGGAGAAACACTGCCAAAGATCCCAGGGCATGTTCGAGCAGAGAGGAATACCCAGAGCTTGGGGGATGCTCTCCATGCCTTTGAGGCTATTCTGCTGCCTCACAGAAAACAAACCCATGTCCAGAATGTGCCCTGTGTGCCCTTCTAGTGTACACTGCTTGGCAAGTAAGCGGCAGTCGACAAACCATCTCGATGGGAACCTGTCCACCATTACAGATCTTCTTCTCCAGAAACTCTGATGAAGGCTTTGAAGGATGCAAGGGAACTCAGGAGCACAGTTTGAAAAGTCATAGAAATATGGTAAGTATGTGTGGCACAAGAGTGGGGTACTTCAGCTTACCTATTTTCATGATGCTTTTGGCAAGCGGTGAGGGCTGCCTTTGGCATCCTGCATGCATCGGCTGGTACCCAACATATTCCCTCCAGCAACTGCAGGCCTACCTGGTGTAAATCGAGGGTCCCACTTAATGCTGAAGCAAACAGTAGCTTTGCTGACTTCCTTGTTCAGTTCATCCTGCTCCTTACACTCAAAGGCAGAGATGGGGATCATAGATGGAATGAAGGTGATCGCATGCAATACTTGGGGAACAGGACGAGACCTATTGCAGACAGAGCAGGGGGCAAATTAGGATGGGTGGGAGGAAACCCTGAGCCATTTTGTAGCCACTGTGAAAGCTTGGGCACATTTAGTTGCGTGAAAAATTCCCTCTGGACCATAGAAGTATAAGCTGTATTTTGCAAGATGCAGAAGGAAGAATCTTTTCAAACAGTTGGAGCATGTGTGCTTTACACATTTCTTGTGTTCACACACACACTTTTCTTTGAATTTAGGTCACAGGGAAAATGCTTTTTCTCCCCTTAGTTGCTGAATGTGACAACATTGTGCAAGTACCTCTAAGAGTCATGCAGTCCATTAAACATGGCACAGCTGACTGAGGAACCATTATGGGAAGAGAGACCTGACCCCTGGGACTCACACCCCTGGGAAGATCCCTCAGGCCAAGCCTCTTGGACATCAATGAGTTTGCACAGAAGAGCTTCACAGTGAATTGCGCTAATTATCGGTCAGGTATGCACAACCATCTCCCTGTGCATGCCAGGCATGTGCAGCACAATTCATTTAATTACCTTTGCAGCATGTGGCTTGCCATGTCATCCAAACTTAGTAAGGTGTGCAGTGGTGCTGGCTATGAAGCCATCTCAGGGTCCATGACTTGCTGAGGGATTTGGGGGTCTGCTGTGCAGCTCACTGGATTTGGACAACATGGTTAGCTGCACACTGCAAAGGTAATTAGGCAAAATGCTTAGTGCACACCAGCATGCATGGGGGCAAGGGAAAAAACCCTCCATGGTTTATTCTCCCAAAGATAATGTGAACCTGGACATTCCTCCCATTTTTATTTTCCACTCAGGCAGCAAAACATTTTAGGTCAGTCCTGAGAATCTTTACCATTCCTGCTTGTGACTGACAACGTGCTTCCCTACCCATGACTTTGTCGTTTTACAGATCTGAAGTGCTATATTACATTATGTATATTTTATACTGCAGTAAAGGCAGGAGACCAGCTGCTGTAGCACTCCAGGGAGGAAGTGTTTGTATAGGCAGCCTTCCATAAAATACAATGGCCGCACCTGACCCTGGGCTCCTCACCTCAGCAGCAGCACATGCTCCTCAGCCCCCACTGAGACATCTGGGAGTCCATCTCCTGAAAGGTCCAACCCAGCAGCAATAGCCTGGCCAAAGTAATGGAGCCCATTGGGAAGCAGAGAGCCTTGGATGCGCTGTGGACAAGAGAAAGGGACACCTCCAAGGAGTACAACGTTGTACTGAAATGGTAGCAGCCCATGGCCCTGGCTCTGGGGTGGGGGAATTGTGGGCTCACCTGGCTATGCACATGGTTGATGGATCTGCTGTTTCCCTGGAATATGTACACAGCTCCTCTATTCTCATCCTCCATTGGAGCCCCAATGGCCACATCCATCCACTGGTCCCCAGTTATTTCACCTGTTTCCGCTATGCTGGCTCCAAATTGGCCCAAGGGATGCTTGGCCTCTCCTTGCAGCACCTCATCACAGAGAAATGTCTCTCCCTGGCAAGCAAGAGAAGGGAACCAACTGAAAGTGTTGCAGTTAAGAGCAGCTCAGGGGAAAGCACTCCCTCTCAAACCCCCACACTGGAGGTTAAGTGTATTTCTGTACCTACCTGCCCATGGCAGATGTAGACCCTCCCTCCTGCCACACCGTCGTAATATGAGGGAGCACCAATGAGAACCAGGTCCGTGTTGGAGTCTCTGTCCAGGTCCACAGAGCAAAGTGCAGCCCCAAAATATGAGCCGATCTGGGGGGTCTTAAAGTGTTTATTGTTAAAAACGATCCCCTTGCTTGATCTTCCTGTACTTGGCCAGTTCCCCTGCCCCCCTCTTTCTTCCTTCCTTCCACTGGGGTCCCCTAACCATCCATGCTTCAACCAGGACTGGGACAAAAGAAGCTTTATATTCAGTCACAAATCTATCATACAAGGAAAATGTGGCGTAGCTACTGGTCTGTGCTACAGGTAGAACTATCAGGGCTTCCTGTCAGAGTACATTGGGAACTGGAATTTTATGGGCATGTTGGAGGCTCCATTGGACTGTAGTGCCTAGAGGTTCAAATTCTGTTACCAACTCTATAAATAGTTGAAAAGATAATTGTATTGCTTCAGTTAGTTTATTTACTCAACTACAGACTGCTTGGAAATTTAAAATGGTTTGACAGGACTGAAAGGTGTGGTTTCAATGGGAGAAGAAATTCTTTTTGGGTTTGTTGACTACATGGGCATCTCTAAGAAAACCCACCCACATATGAACTAATATAGTCCCGCCCCCACCTTCTTTCTCTGCCAATGGGTACATTTGGAATATTGAAAATCAGTATAGAAATACAAACCAGTAAGGCAAAAAGACAAATTGAACACACACACAAACCAGCCATAGCACAGAGAAAATGCATGTTGATGAAACACACAGACAAAGCACATGCCAACAACTCCCTGATGCTTTCCTATTCCCCTCACTGGTTTCCCTTACACCCTTCCTGGGCATCCCACTGTCCCCCATCCCCCCAGCATCCTCTCTCAGTTTACCCTAAGCAGCAACTGAGGTCCCCTTTTCTTTCTTTTTCAGGCAACCAAGAGTGCTTCAAAGCAAAGCAATGGCTTTCAGCCATCAACTACCTGTACTTCTTAAGAATGGCCTTTGGTCAATGTGTGGCTCTGATGGACTCATGGGAAAGCAAGAGAGGGGTGGCCGGAGGCTCTTACTTCTTTTTGAAGCGATCCCATCCCATTGCAAGAAAACAATTTTTAATGTAAACATGTGGATGGTTCATTCACTATCATGGGTGCCAAATGGAATGGCCACGGGCACAGCACTGTGGGCATCAGCATTAACACAAATTGCCGCTTTTCCTGAAATCTCTTTACCGGTGTTGTAGAGAGCTCTGACTTCTGCTTCCACTTGTCACCTTCTTGGCTGAACAGAATAACCTTGCCAACATGCTGGTAACGAGGGGCCCCCACCACGTAGCTTATCCGGTTGTCCTTTCGAACAGTCTGCACAGAATAACCTGAGAGGTGGGGCGGGGAACACAAAGGCAGCCAGGCAGGTAAGGCGGAAAAGTGTAGTGACTGCTGTTTAAAGCGCTATAAGGGGGATCCTCCACTAGCAGTGACCTGCAGCTGCTTCTGGGATGGGTGTTGCGGCAAGAGGAGCTCCTCCAGCTCAGAGGCAGCCACCTGTGCTATAAGCAAAGGTCCAGGGCAACACACACTGCCTCAAGGAATTTGTCACACACAGCATCATGGCAGGAATGGGATTCATGCTATTCTGCAAAGCGAAGAAATGACTTTGGTATGGATTGCTTATTGATGGGGATAGATGATCCAATCTATCAGTTGATTTTCCAGTGCGCTTCACAAACAACTTGTCATGTTAGGGATTGAAGAGTTTGGTCTGGCATAGCAGTCATAAGAAAACAGCAGTCTGGTGGCTGGAAGAAACTCCAGTGGCAGCCCAAGACATTTTACTGCCTGAAACAGAGCCCGAATGGTCCATCCCCATCCACTGCTGCAGCCAACCCTTTAAAAAGTGTTCTTGCTGTACTGTTCAGGGGTCAGTTGTAGCCTTCCTCTATCGCCTCCTTGTGTTGCCACCAGAAGGAGGTCACTTCATGCTGCTGCTTGGCAGGGCCAGCCCTGCATAAGATTTGTGTTGCTATGAAGACAGTGCAACCTTTGTGCTTGCTTCTTTATTCCATTCAACCTATACATTTATGAATAATCAGACATTCCATGTTGGAAGTCTCTAGTACTCGCTGCTCCAGAGGAGATATATTCTGTTAAAGGCTACTCCAAAATCCCCACAAATTGGAAAAAATGATCCAAAAGTACAAAAATTGCCCCAAAGTACAGTAGGGAATAAGAATTTGAATCTTACCAAGATAAGCATTGTCCATCTCCTTTGTCAAGCTGGATACATTGATGAAATTTGAACCTCCACGTTCTCCATATTGGAAAATCCCTCCAGACCAGTCATAGGCTCCTACTGCCCCCAAAGTGGCATTACCCTAAACCAACACAAGGGGTGGAAGAAGTGATGGCATGAAGCCAGTGGAGCAGAGATTATGTCAACGAAGAAGGAAAATAATCCTAAAATGTAAGGTTGCACCTGCTACACATCTTGTAACACTAGGACATTTTAGAAAATACTTCTCCAAGCAGCCTGCTCTACAATTCTATTTGATACCAAGCAACTTCAATAATTGCCCTGACCTTGGTCTGAACAAATCACACCTTCAGGAGCCATTCCAACACAGAATTGGACTGGCGGAAACTTGTACCATTCTCTCTCCTCTGCAAGGGCAGGCCTCCAGGGGGAATTAACTCTGCAAAGGTCCCTTTTATCCAGCTGGGAAAATACCATCTTCACATCCCCAAACTGCATTAGTAAGAACTCATCCTGATCAACAGCTACATTTGAATCTAGAGTCTTATCCCATCTAAACCTAAACTCTTTCCCCAGAGAGGTCCGCCTGGTGCTGTTGTTATTTGTTTTTCAGCGCCAGGCGAAGACCTTTTTATTTAAATGTCATTTTTAATTGCTAATATTATTTATTTATTTTACATCTTTGGCCAAGACATCTTAAATTATACTGTTTTTATATTGTTATTATTTATTTATTGTTGTGAGCTGCCCTGAGGCTTCGGCGAATGGGGCAGCATAGAAGCTTCCTAAATAAATAAATAAAATAAACCAGCATTCATTGCATCAGACTGTCTACCAACCTTTCCACATCTATCTTGGTTTTTGAGAGTTGAGATAATGATCCACAGAAAAGGTAAGTCTGGGGGCTGAGGAAGCACCTTACCTGCCTCAATAAGGCACTAAATCCTTCCTGAGACATCTCTAACTGGAAGGAGCTGCTGTTTTTGGATTCTGTACCTGCAGGAGAAAGGTGAGCAAAGAAAAAGTCATTAGGCTGGCAGGTTTGGTCTCTGAAGTGCTGAGAGCAGAACCTGAGACATTGATGGGATAGAAGTAGGACCTGGTAGAGCCTGATGGGGCATTGGAAACACCACCTGAATTGCTCAGCAGGGCTCGGTACTTCTAGGTAGAGCCTCATGCCCATGCAAGGTAGAGGTGACAAAGACTACCCCCATGATTTTGCCATTCTGATTTTGCCCTGGATACCCTGAAAGAAAGGCTAAATCCCTGAAACTTCAGGATAAACTCTGAAACCTGACAGATGCAAGAGGTTTTCCTCTGCCAAATTGAACAGCTGGAGCAAGGTGGGTAAAGTCTGGCATAAGGATAAAAGTAGCTGGATTGCTATGTTGTCAGTCTAATACAATGTGGCACTATGATATAGCAGGATTTGTGACTTTTCATTGAGTTTTTGTTCTGGTTTGAAATTCCTAGCATCGGATTTTCCTTGCTCTAAAACAGCTGCAAAAAATGGCTGAAAATACAGGAGAGGCTGTGCGGGGTGGGGTGGCAGCATAATGAAAAGGTCCTGCAGAGTTGCATGAGAGAAGGATCACAAGAATTATGAATACTGCATGTAGAGAAGCTCCCAGGTATACTTAGACTAGACCCACTGAATGGGTATTTTAAGTCCTAATATTTTCAATAGGTTTCCCTTCCAAATATGATTAAATCTAGATGCAACAGAAAGAAATGGTAGGATGTAGATATCAGTAGATAAGTTTGGCCAGATAGATTTATTTCTCCTCTCTCCTTCTCATATACCACCCCCTGTTCACTCCTCATATAGAATAGCTAATAATCCTACATGAAATAACGCTTGTGGGAGCTATACCCTGAGATCCAGAAACTAGAAGTGCCTCCCTTAATATTTTGACTAAATCCATAAAACTGAACTGGATCAGGTCCAGTCTAACAACTGCATATCAGTGCCGCAGATTTTAGCATTAAATCTTGGCCTCCAGGACTACCTGCGGGATTTGGTACCTTCAATAGCAAAAATTTTATCCTGAAGGTGGTTCTGGATGTCCTTGAGAGCATCGAAGTTGTCCACTCGGAAGACATGGTCTGAGGCTGGTGCAGAGGCAATACTGACGAGCTCTTGAAAGGCGCTGCCTTCACTGAATGCCTTCCCTACCTTTATAGTGAGTGAGAAAAGGAGCAAAGCAAAGGTCGAGATGTATTCCAGTAGTGAAGCTGATGACATTCAAAACTATTCTTTTTGCAATGCTGTTGTGTGCTTGGGGTCTGTCTAGATTGCCTTGTAACTCTGCCTCTAATCATAAAGTGATTCAGAATTCCCCCTCTTCCTTCTCCCATAGTCTTTTGTGGCTGCTGTTCAACCTGAATAAGTAGTTTCTGTTCCACTAGGCAAGAAGTCTGAGGAAGAGTTTGAAAAGAAGAGGAACAAGAGGGCTGACAAGTTCTCTGGGGAAATCTTTTTAGGGATCTGAAGGGGAAAGAGTAAGACCCTGCGAAATGCTGTGCTAGGTTAGTCCAATGATCCATCCAGTCCAGCGGCTCATTTGCACAGTAGCAAACCCACTGCTCCTAGGAATCCCTCAGACAGATGGGTACAAGAGTTCCACCTGTCCCAGGTCCTCAGCAATGGCTGTATATGGATGTGCTCCTCTAATAACAGGGGAAGCACATAGCAGACAACACTAACAGCCACTGACAGCCTTCTTCTGCATAAATGTGTCCAAGCTCTTTTAAAGTCGTCCAAATTGGTGGACATCACTACTTCTGGCAGCAGTGAATTCCTTAGTTTAGCTATGCATGATGTAAAGAAGTACTTTCGTTTATTGTCCTGAATCTCCTACCAATGACCTTCAGGGAATGACTCCAGGTTCTAGTATTATAGGAGAGAGAGAAATGTCTCCCTCTCCATTTTTCCACATGTATGCATCATTCTGAACATCTCTGTCATGTTTCCCCTTACTCACCATTTATCTATGCTAAATAGTATTAGCTGTTGTAATAGTCCCTCATAGGAAAGATTGCTGCAACTCCATCATTTTAGTTGCCCTTTTCTGTACTTTTTCCAACTTTGCACCTAAATGGCTATAATAATCAGACATATACATGATACTCCAACTGCAGTGCACCAAAGATTTAAGTGGAGTATGATACTGGCAGTTTTATTTTCAATTACTTTCCTAATTATGCCTCACATGGAGTTTGACTTTTTCACAGCAGCTGTGCACTGAGGAAACATTTTCATGTCCACTTCCCGGCTGTGGAGATCCCTGCCAAGGAAAACTGTGTTTGCTCCCCTTCCATTGTCCTTCCACCAGCAAGCAAAGTGCATTCTATCCAAAGAGGTTTTTGGCATGTAAGCATTTCTGTTGGTTTTGGTGCTGTTTTCATTTTGCCCTTGCTTGCATTTTAATGCTCTCTTTTATTATATTTTAATCAAATTTCATTTATTATTGTAAGCTACCCTGAGTGCCATTGAAGAAAAGAGTTTTGATGGAATGTTTGAGAGGAAGCACAATTCATTCTATTCTTTTCATTCTCTCAACTGTTTTAACCTCAGAGTTGCCATCTGATCAGAAGAAAACAGCTCAGCTTGTTCTGCTTTTACTGCTTGCTTGATCTGCTGAAATGAACATGTGAAGCTTTTCACAGCCTGCAGATAATCATTACCTGTTACTACCTCCAGGTCAAACTGCTGTGAAAAAGCAGGGGAAAAAAAGCTGACTAGCTTATTCCAATCATGTAATAATTTCTTCATGTTTTCAATTCTGCTGTAAGCTCCAGGACAAGGGCAGCAAACAACTGTGATTGGAATGCTGGGACCTGGTCACAGGAGCAGGGCAGAATCCTGCAGCAGGTTCAGAGGGTTAGAAACAAGAGGAACTTTTGTGTAACAGTCCAGGGTCAAAGCCAGAGAGACAACAGATTCAAGCAATACACTCCAAAGGTTTTACAGTCCAACCAGTTCAGGGTTCAGCTGGAGACAAGGACTGGGCAGGCAGAGCAATGAAGGGCCAGAGTACAACAGAGTTGCTTTGGCAAAGAGCAGCTGTGCAGGGAAGCCTTTTATGCTGGTCTCCAGGCCTTCCGGCTGCCTTGCATAATTGCTCCTCAGCTGTTCCCTGCCAGCACCTGTAAAGGTGTTTCTGGTTCTGCAGGCACTTCCATGGTCAGTGAAACTCTCATCCTGACACCTGCTCTGATTTCTGTCTAGTGTTCTGAGGATTTCTTTGCTAGCTTTCTCACCCCAATGGCAAAGCGGATGATGCCAGCTGCCTCAGCTTCTGGAATCACATCGGTGTACTCCAAGGGGTCTCTGTATTTTTCTCCATCTGTTATCACAATGAGAATCTTAGAGGCACTGTGGCGGGCTCCTTTTTCTGGGAGAAAAAGCTCACGTCTAGGAAAATGTGAACAAGAAATGGCAAGCTAAACATTTTCCTTCATTCCAAATTCTAAAAACATGTCACACAAATAAGAATTGAATAAACAGTAAAACAAGTATTAAATGTAAATCAATCACAATGAAAAGATATGAATAAAATGAATACAAATGGCTTATGTACAGTCTGAAGTGCCTGATTCTTCCTATTCTTGGAAACTAAGCAGGATTAGGCCTGGTTGAAAATCTGGATGGGTGACTTAATGTTGTGAACCTCCCAGAAAGTTTTGGCTATGAGTGATAAAGAAATGTAGTTGTGGTGGTGATAGTAATAATAAAATCAATTAACTTCCAGATCTTGGCCAGGTAATAGTAAGCAGGCAAATACCTCATTATAGGATATAGCTTAATTTTTAAGCAACCTCTTAAGTTTCAAGAAAACTCTGGACATTGCTTTAAAATTATTTGTGGTTCTGAACTTCAGATATGCAGACACAGTGGGGTAAGTCATATATTTAAAAAAACATACCAACCAATTTGGTATTATACTGCCTTTACTTTTACTCTGTGACTTTCTCTCCCCATTGTGGAATGCTACGTTTCCTGAGTTTGTATAAGAATCAGCCCTAGATACTGCCAATTTATACTTTCTGGAAATATTCAGGAAGGAATTAGAAAGGAACTACCAGGAGCGAAGCTTCTAAGGAAAGATACAATAACCCAGAAAAGCTTCAATAGTGCTGGACAGGATGGTGCTGCAATTGCATTTGGAAGAATGAGGTGGTGTGGTAGGGGAGCACAGTGGTATGGCAGGTGCCACCACATATCACACTTGAAAAAGGCAGGACAATACAAAGAACTATGGGATACAATGGTACAATGTCATGCTATCTCAATAATCTTTAGAAGGTCTGTGAATGAAAGATGGTTCTTCCAGACTAAAGAGTTAATGTGAAAGCAACCAATATCATATGTTGAACCAGACAAACAAACAGGAAATTACGTACACCACTCTCTGGATATATGTAGCTGTGTGCGTTGTTCCACCCAGCTGCCGCACTTTCCTAATTAGTGCATCAGGATCTTGGTTCTTCTGGAATGTAAGGAAGTCAAAGTGTTCTTGATAGAAGTTTGAGTACTGGCACAAGGCAAACTAAAATGAGAAAGAGAGAGAGAGTTGGTAGACACAGGAAAAGATTTAGATCCATAATCAATGGCAAAATATATGTCAAATGCATCCATTTGTCTCCATTTTAGGAAATGTTTAAACTCTTGGCTGAATAAAAATACCATGAATCAAATTCTAGAACCCAAATGTAGTGGCAGGAAAAGCTGAACTCAGCAGGCAATATAAAATATATTAAACAAAAAAAGCAATGTTGTCTCCATTTACATTAATATATTCCATTTCTGATATTGGGAGGGTCAAAAAAAATCACTCAAGCCACTAAAGAACAGCTCGTTTGGTGACTGGAAATCCTAATGACTGCTCAGTTAGCTTTTCATAATTCAGTAGGTCTTATACATCTGTTGTAAAGCCTAGGGGATAGAAAGTTACTTAAAATGAAATTCTGAAATTTTCAGAGTGTGGATCTTTTCTCCAAGGACTATAAATTTTATACAAATAACATGACTGACAGCTCTGTCCTTTACACAGAGACACAAGCCCTAGGAGATTAGAGGGGACACTATAAAACATTGTGAGGAATTAATAGGAAGAAAATCTAATAATGGGAGCACATAATGGGAGAATCTTGCAGAACCCTAATGTGCACACAAACAGAGGCATTGTTTATTCTGGTAAAATAAGAAAGTACAGAAACAAACTGTCACCCATTATCCCAGCATTACCTGCGTGCTTGTATTTTGGAAGCGCTTTATAACCTCAGAGATAAATGTCTTCATCTGTATAAACTGATTTCTGTCAATGCTCCCTGAACCATCTATCAGGAGAACGATGTCAGTGGGCCGTTTTGGACATTCTAGAGAATGAAACAGCAGTTGAAAAAGCAGATAAAGATTTTTGAAGGAGGACCCCCACCCTCCCTCCTGAACAAGGAGGGCCCCTATGGTTTTGAAAGCTATGAAACAGGCAGGAATTCGATAGGTGAAGCTTCCATCACTGCACTCTCCCCACCCATGACTGGAAAAAGCATCTCCAATGGATTTTCTATCAGTAAAAAAGGGGAACACAGAAAGTAGGCAGTACACATTCACATACTCAAAAGTAACTGATACTTCCCAATCCAAATAAGTTGACCTCATCTCTTGTCTCCTCACCCAGCCTTTAAAACAGGACTGAGGAATCGCCAGGCCTTGGAGCAGATTCAACCTGCAAGACAGACTGGTCCTGCAAGGCCTCCCCGTCCCCGACAGGAGAGGTCCCTCTGGAGTCCTGCCTTCTTTTGGAGGTCCCCTCTTCTTCCCTGTCAGGGTGAGGGGTATGCGGAGCTGGGCTTCCTTGGAGGCTGCTACCCGCTTGGCTGCTGCAGCAGTCAAGACGAGGGGTCTGTTCTGGCTTTGGGCATGTGTCTGCGTATGGACACTTATCTGTAGGAATAATGTGTGGTTGTCCAGGCAAACATGTTGAGGCTGCCTCCCAGCAGTGTTGGTGGCCCTGGCAACTCTATGCTGCAGCCTTGCCCACTGTTGGCATGTGGCCCAGAGCCAATGCAGCCATCAGGAGAATGAGCCTCTGCACCCCTGCTCTAGAAAATTAGGCCAGTGGGTTCCTTGACTCTGGGTCCCTTTTCCTTATACTGTCATCTGACTGGTGGTGTCTGACTTCCTTCCTTGTAGGTCTCACCTGGCAGATGCTCAGGAAAGCGCTTTATCAGCCTCAGATTCTGGTCAAGGAGAAAGCAGTAGCCCTTGAGGTAGATGTTTTCCCCACAGGTTTGATGCACTGTTGGACCACACGCCTGTGGAACCAAGGGGAAATGGCTAGCTGTGGTTGGATTAAGTAGCTATGTTAATAAAATAGGTTGTGGTTCAAACCACACACCCATTTGACTTGAAAGTCTTATACTCTGGTATGATGAGCGGGGAATTAATTATTCAGCTTTGGTTTTCCAAATGTATTCTGCACTTCCTCATATAAACTCTCTTTTAAGCTGACTTACATGTTCCTGCATTGATCAGACAAGGTTCTGGGTGTTGAGCCCTGGTAGAAAGTAAATCCCAGCTTGGTGAGTATGCAGCCTTAGTGAGATGGGAGGCTGATGAAAAATGTTTGTTTGGAGGAGGGAATGGGTCAGTGGGAAGACAGCAGAACCTGCAAGAGGAATTTCCAATTCCAATTGTATTGCTGTAGTGTATGCAGTGTACTGTTTGTATCACAAAAAGAAGTGCCAGGAAAAGTTTTAATAAACCTGATGTGTTATGAAAGATCTTGCTTTCCTCATTGGCTGCAATTAAAATATCACTGTAATGCACTGATATTTTTTAAAAACCTGCTGAAAACTATAAAAATATATTTAAAGTTGCAATAATTAATTTTAACAACTGCATCTCAAATACCTACCAATGACAAACCATAGGTATTAAATTATTACTAATAATAATAATTTCATTTCTATACTGTCCCATAGGCAAACCTCTCTGGGCAGTAAAATAAAAATTAAATATACATTCTTATAGTGGATCTGTTAGTATAAGAAAAGGACTCACCCAAATGTTAATATAAAGATATTATAATTCGAATTAATCCATGGGTGACTTATTTTCATATACTAACAAGTGGATACAAAACTAGGAATTCTAGGAATTTCAGGTGCATTGTTTGAATTTTTAGCATTTAAAATGTTTTAAAATAAATTTATATTTGCAACCCCTGTGAAAGGAAATACCCTTCCAAAATGAGTTGGGTATATTAAAGCTTTTTCTGGCACCTGAATTTTTTTTCTCTTCTGCTTCAGGATTCAATTTGGATACTGTTTTTTGTTTGTTTGTTTGTATTTTGAAAGGGTGCCTTTTCCTTTCAGGAATTTTGTTCATTGTCAAAGCCATTGTGGGTCATTTCAGACATGAGGCATCTAGTGCTAATAATTACTAGTAAGAAAGTACCATAAAGGAATTCCGTCTTTATGTTCCATATCAAATCTTGTGTGGTAAGGAAAAAAAGAAAATGGATGGAAGATGGGTATGAGAAAATAATAATAACTGACCTGACCCTCTGCCCTCTAAATCTGCATCAATGAGGCTGAGAGATTTCCAGAATATAAGCTTTGTCTGGAAACACCCAGTAGTCCAAGTTTTATCACCCTGGAGCTGTTTTGCTTCCCAAATCCATTCGTTTTCTGAGCTACAGAGGGCCTTGCCTGCATTTGTTCTGACAGCTTCTCAAGGAAAAGTTGGATGGTGGGTTGGAATAGTGTTCTTGGCTTTCACTTTATGATTCAGTGATATATTATCTACAAGGAGGGCTGTGCAGAACCATGAAACAGCGCCTTTTATGTTAAACATTTTATTGGTTGTCTTTCTAGACCATCCAATGGCCAAAGCTCCTGAGGCAGTTCATAAATCTGTGAAATGACACAGCATAGTAAAGTGTAACGGAAAACCCTTAAATGTAAAACAGAACAAAACCAGAATAACATTTTTGCCACTATCTTAAGAGAAAAAGAAAAGAAAGACCATTTCCAAGCAGTGCTGCTTACCAACAACTGGGAGTCGCTGGCAGAGAGGGACAAACTGAGGGACATGTTCAGCGCATCAGCAGGCACTAAAAGGAAAAGATACACATTGAAGGTGATTATTGCCACATATAGGGCATTTATACTGTGCAATCCCACACATATTTACTTTTATGATTTCCTGCTGACTTGATTTTAAACATGTTTAACTAACTACATGGGAGGGAGCCCCATTGTACCATAGGGACAAGTAAACACACAAGCACTTGTCTGTGTATTTTCAAAGGGCTTTGTACATACTATTTCAAGAATCCTTATCTCATATCCTGGCAGACTCATGGAAACTTGTTGTCAAAGAACTGGTCAAGATATTTGAAAATGTAAAGTAGCACCAGCAAATGTTATCTTATTAACCAACAGTCTCTGTGAGATATTAATAGCTTGCTAAAAAACATGAGACTATAAATACTTGTGTGTCTCTCTTGACTTTCACTTCTCTTCCTACACAGACTCTTATCTACTGCTGCTAATTGTCCCTCTTTCCCTACCACTTCTAAGGGGGCAATCCTACACCCTAGAGCAGACCTTTCCATGTGGTCCTGAGGGGCAAACGGCCCAGTCAGCCCAGCCAGCAGGAGAGTCCACTGAAGGGAGAAGGCCTGTGGCCTGCACCTGTTGACTGGGAGTGTCTCTAGTTTTACAGGCCAAGCTGCAGCTCCAGCAAGAAGGTCTGAAAGCACCGTGTGGGTTTTCTGAATTCATTTCTCCTGCTGAGACTCTGTTGAACGCATGGTATACCTTGAACAACTGAGAATTGTACTGCTATTATGTACATGTCACAAATTATTTGTTTTATAGATTTTGTTTTTACACACACATATATGAGAACATTTAATTTTTCTTGAAGCAATTTATTTTTTCAGAGCCACACAGGGTAAAGATCTGAATTAACGCGTGACTTGTATTAAGCAGTAGGCAGAGGTTACATTTTGACAGGAAAAAAAAGGCTACAACTCCCAGCATGCCTCAGCTATGCTGGGAATTATAGGCCCTTTTCCTCTCTAAACTTGCATAGAATTGTGGCCCACTTGGCTCCATCAGAAGATAGCTTTGCCTTCTTTGTTCCTGTTGTGCTCCACAGGGTCATCTACCCGATGAGGCATTTTGGGGCACAAAGGGGACTGTCTGATGGCCTCAGCAGGCCACTTGCAGTCACAGTTATCGGAAAGAGTACGCTTGCTGTTCTGTACAGTGTCTTCGGCAATACCAGTGGGAGGAACGGGAGAAAAACACCCATAGTGAGCCTGGTCATCTGTTGGTCTCATCATGGGTGCTTGGTGCTTAACGATAACCCATCATGGTGATTTGCCATGGGTTGTCATTAGGTATGAACCACCCACTTTATGTCAAGGATCTGTGGTTGTTCCACATATTTATAAATCTGAGCCAGTAAAATGAGGACAAGTAGTTTTGAGAGCTCCCCATCCCTCTTTCACAGGTTCCTTTCTCTGGAAGTGGAGAGCAGTAGGAAGAGAAATACGCTTCACTGGGTATCATGAGCAGAAACCCCACATGTCTTGCTTTGGGCACTCCATAAGCATCTGGTTGCCCACTGAGAACTGAATGCTGACCTAGTGATACTTTGGGTTCAGCATCATTCTCCTTATTTTTTGCACTCAGTTCTGCTCTTGCACAACACATGGGGGGAATGTAGACCAAAGGGAAAGCTTCAGCCCTGTGTGTGTGCTCCAGAGGTAAAGCCATGAGTCCTATTTCCAAAGGTTTCCTCCATTGCAACTCCACCCTGTCAAGCACTTACTTTGCAAAGGGACCTCCTGGCATCTGCCCGATTTGCTTTGCATGTAATGGCATTTGTAGAGTTTTCCCTGTTCATTCCCATTCCCCTTCTGGAGTGGGGCACCAACAAACAGCCTGGAGGAGTGAGATAACACATGCAGAGAAGTCAGGAGTCACACAGTGTCTCTCCTGGTAGGGGCAGGAAGACAAGAGATACATGGCTCTCCATGGATCTGGAGCGACAGTGGTTGCTTACGCTGCGTTTGGTCCACTTCCAAATTGCACAATGCTCTTTCCAAAGCCTTTTGCTCTTTCTTGGAAAGCGATTGGATGCTCTGTATCCAGACTGAATCCATGGCATTGTGCCAGCACTGTAAGGAATAAATAAACAGATTGTTCTTAGGGCAAGAGGGTAGCAACCCCAAAGAGCTCTGGTGGGTATGGCACCTACTGGTCCACATGTAGCTGGCAGGGAAGAGGGGCTGGAAGGAGGAGAGGGAGATGACAGGTGTTAAGGCAGAAGAGAGAAGAGTATCCAACTTCATCCATTCACTTGGGCTTCCTTTGGTGGGGAATCTGGAACTTCCCTGCAGGAAGTGACAGGAGGACCTGAACTTAATATTTTTCATGGAAGTGCATGATAAGCTTCAGGTGCATCTAGACCTGGGAGACATGTGGGTAGAAGCAGATAATCCTTGCTTCAGGGAGTTGGTGAAGGAGCATCAAGGTACATGCAGGTACTTGAAAGAATTCATGCAGAAATGGGGCAGAACAGATTCATGAATAGGCACAACTGAAAGCAACAGGGACCGGAAATAGGCTGATCCTATCTTTCAGCCTGTTTACCAGAAGTTCATGGAGGTGGCATTTTAATAGTGGACAAGACATTTCAATTGCATTAAGGTGCAATTTACCACTAAGTCCGTGCACGTGCTAAACTAGAAGCAATAAAAAGCACTAACATCTAAAAAGAAAGCTTTGCATTGAATGTACAAGTAGCCTTAAAAGCAATAATGGCATTTTGCCTGTCCATGCTAGACATGTTGGTGCTGCCATTGCATTTTTCTGCAAATAATATCAAACATTTAATAAACTATAAAAATATTGGAGGGCAATAAGGAAAACTGGGATGATATGGAAGGGTTATAACTGAGATTTTCCATATATGTGAACAACAGTTACAAGAAAGGAGTTAGTATGGAAGCAACCAGGAGATGTGTAGTCTCTTATGCCTTTTAACAGTTGCAAGAAAATAAGGAAGGTGAATAATGATAATAATGTTGTTTCCAACCTGCAATTCTACAATCTAAAGGACATGAGAAAAGAATAAGCAGAAGGGGAGACAGTGGATTCTATACATTAAAACTTTAGGAAAAGAAGCATGCTTTCAGCTGCTGTCTTCAGTTAAACAGAGAAAGCAAATTCTAAAGAAAAAGTGCTGAAAGAGAGGAAGGTATGCGAAATAGAGGGAGTAACTAGAGGCTAAGCCAAGAGGAAAGGCGGGGATGGAGGAATTAAATAAAAACAAAAACAGAGGATCTATAGATCCAAATGAAAGAGATTTAAAACAACCCCCCCCCAAAAAAAACAAGGAGTTTCTTAAACTGGATCCAATCAGGAGACAGAAACCAATGAATGGGGTGCAACAATGGAGGCAAAATGAGCAGCTCCAGGAACCTCGACTGTTACCCATTAGAACTGAGGCAATCGACTAGTGCTGTGCCATTGCGATCCAAGATGGGTTGTTGTTTTGCAAACCCAAACCAGTCCCCCATGGGTTGGCTTGTCTGGGGGCAACAGATGGGTTGATCTAGGGGTTGCATGCACAATGGGGCTCATATCATCCAAACCCAGGAGACTGACCCCATTGTGGGAACCAGAATTTAGCTACTTGGTCAGAGTGGCAACTTCCCCATGTCACTCCTAAGCAACTGGCTCCTAAGCAACTGCCCTTGCATGTTGTCCCAAACATATGTGAAATACTTGGGAGCAGCTGTCACTGGCTCCCCACCCATTTCCACCACAATCTTGAGTCACTGAGGCTTGCTGCAACTTTTTTTCCTCTTTAAACTTTTTTCCTTGAGATTGCAGAAGTTGTCTGTGAAGCTAACTTTTGCAAGCCCTGTTTCGACAGTGACTGACAGTCCCTCCGATGTGTTCTAGCCACACATTGAAGAACTGCTTGTGATTACAAAGCATTAAAAAGTTCCTTCTAATTTTTGCAAATCTTTGTGAAAAAATATTTTTATTTCACACTTATGGATTATTTGCACTTACATGGGTGTGGGACTGGGGAGCCTGAGACAGGCAATGTGCAGGGGGTGCCTGCTGCAAAGTCCAGCAAGTACCCACTATAGGCATTGTCCCACAAAGGCTGCAGGTGAGCTTATTTTTCCATGAGGTGCATCAGACAGCTGTCCAAAGGTGAGCCATCAAAGGCATGAGTGAACTGAGCTCATAAAAAGGAGGTGGGACTTGTGTGTCCTCTCAGTGCCCTCATTTTTGCACTTGTTCCTGAGATTCTACCATCTCATAAACTTACAGAAGTGTGAACTACTTCATACCTTGCATAATTGTTAACGGTAACACTCCACTTTTCAAGGGGGATTTAGAAAGAGTTTTGGAGGGGAAAAATGGCAGGAAGGTGCATAGGTATATGGAGTGCTTGGGGTTGTGAGAGGGAGGAACTAAGCAACTCAGTCTTCCTGCCATGTCTGCTGAGATACCTGAACAAGAACTGGGCGGAAGGGGGGGGGGGACAGGAATTCATGATGAGCCTAGTTGTTGGTTTTACTGCCAGAATGAGTTGGCATGCCATGATGCACTGAGTATCTTTGCCATAGAAGGAGAAGAAAATGAATGAAAAGAATGGTAGTTTCACTTGCAAAGTGGGGTATTCAGAAAACACCAGAACTAAGGGAAATCTTTCCTAGGAGTATCTTCAGTAGTACACCCAAACTTTCCACTCAGGATCTTTCAGTATTAGCATTATTCAGCAATTAGAACAGCCAGAACAGTGCAACACGTCTACTTTTTCCTCGGTCAGTTATAAGAACAAAGATGGTCACACTTTTTCTGAAGTCGAGGAAGTTACTGAGACTTTAACACTGCATGTCATAAATTCAACAAAAGTTACTTTCTGAGCACAAGCAGGATGCAATGGAGATGAAAATTTGACCTGCTGAAATTCTGCTGTCATGGCTTGTTAAAAGTACAGAGGCACTGAAAGTACAGACAAAAAGGCATTATTCTGTAAAATCTGGAGTGAGTGAATGGAAAAGAAGGCATGCGACAGTAAGGTGACACTGTTGCAAAAAAGTGGGGAGATTAGGATGTCAAAATGTAATTTCCACTTTACACAGATTGACTAGGTCATGACAGGGCAACACAACTGCTGGGAAAAATATGTCGTTGCGTGGAAGTTGAAATATTTCCTGTCAATAGTAGAAGGGGAAGAGAATTTGTGTCTAGAAAGAGAATGAAATGAAAGCTGATGCATTTCCTCTCTGAGGCAGTGGTCTAGTGGCACTGTTCCATGGTCAGAGGCAGTCGGTTGCTAATACGAGTTCTTGGGAGCAACCGCTGCCTTCATACCCTTCTTGCAAGCTTCCCAGAGGCACCTGACTGGTCTCTCTAGGCTGCAGATTGGAGGCCTCATGTGGCAGGGCTCTTCTTCTTTTTTACCAGGATAGTTGTGGACTCTTAGATGGATATGAGTGTGAATTTGAACAAGCAAAGTGGGCCATTCTTAAAGGGAGATGGGAGAGGAGCATTGCTGGAATTTGCCATTTAGGGTAGATAACCATTCCTGAATTATGGTAAGAAACCTGAGCTAAATAATATTAATACTGCCAGAAAGATTTTTTTAAAATCTATAGTCTCCTAATTTCTTTTTCAAATGTTTGTTAGGCTGTCTTTAAAGTAGAATATGCTGGCTTTAAGAATATGCAAATAGGCAAGAATTTAAAAAACACAATAACATGCTATGCAAAAAACTGATTGTACCAATAAAAACCTGCAGATTTGGGGAAGGGCAGCAAGAACAGTTGGGTCATGACCTTCCTGGTGATATGTAAAGAAAGTGCCTGACAAACCCCTGAGGGAAACTGATAGCAGGGGTGCCGCCCTTCTGACCAACTTTACTGTAAGCTGGAGAGCAGAAGCAAAAGGAAGGAAAGGGATAAGAGTGTACAACATTTCATCTGCAAAATAGATGTAGACAATCCAAACCAGCTAACCAATTCTCTTCCTCTACCATCTGCCCAATTTCCATTCTTAAAAAATAATTGAGATCTCCATGACAAGTTATCTCATACTATGGATTTACAAAGCCCTTCCATGTGGGAAGTGCCCACAATCATTTTTAAACTGGAAGGGGAAAATCTTTGAAAAGGGCACAGTGTGGGATTATAAGCAGAAGTAGGTCCGCCAGTTGTCATCATTCACACAACAGGCCATAAATCTACCAGTGCTTGTGATGTAGGATGCAGCAGTTGCAGTATGTGTGCACCATTTGGGGAAAGGCACTATCTACACAAATCAAGGACAAATGAGATGGTGAGACTACAGGAATGAAATGGGTAACAACTGACCCTCTGGTGCCAGTAGTTAGTAGCTGGACAAGTGCAATGGACAAGTGCTTCAATATAGAGTTCAGTTCCTACTAAATGTTTGTCTAATGATCTTATGGATTATATTACTGCATTGAATTAATATTGAAGAGGCCATGGAACAACCACTAGTAGTTGGTGGGTGTTCAACACTTCATCCCTAAGTCCTCCAGTCTACAAAAGCCCTGTCCAATAGCCAGCTGAAGACAATTTAACGCTCTATCAATGACTCTTTAGCATAATACCCAAATGGAACTTCCATATTCAAGGGAGACAGCACACAACTACATGCATGAATGCAAGTGCATGGAAAGAGAGAGGGACTGTATCTGTGGGTTCCACCCTTTTCTTGTTTTCATTGGAAAGTTGGAACAGGGTCTACACCTGTAGAAGTCTCACTAGATGCTCAGGGCCCCTACATTTTGAAGGGTTCTCTTTCCAGGCACACACATGGAGCCCATGCAGATACACTGATGTGAGCATAAGCTTTGTTTTGACCCTCTGATGTCAGGGCTGGAGGCAGCAAGATGCATTACTGCTTTACTCTCCACACATAGATATACTTGTGCAGAGAGACTACAGCTCTGGGTATCAGAGGTTAAGTACAAGGATGCTGAAAATTGAAGCTTGTCAAGCAAGTTATGAAATGCTTTTTAATTGATTGGCCATTTAGAGTTTAGTTTATTATGCTATGGTATACCAAAGGCAGTAGAAGAAAAGGAAAACTAAATCCAAGATTTGTTTTGTATTTTATCTGTTTTGTATTTTATCTGTACTTTCTTTGTATTGCATTTTAATTGGCATTTTAAATAAACAAATAAATAAGATGGATTGATACTATAAAGGAAGCCACAGCCCTGAATTTACAAAACATGGGAAGGGTTGCCATTGATAACATATTTTGAAGATCTTTTATTCATAGGCTCACCATAAGTCAGGCATGACTTGATACCACATAACAATAATAACAACGAATATTTGCATACTATCAAACCCTCACTAATGGGGCCTTTTCAGATGCTGAGGGAAATACGTAAACAAAGAATAAATAAAATCTTCCAGATTGCTAAAAAGGAAGTCCGCTTTAATAATTTAATTCCATAATACAGTAAAACCACATGGAAAGCAAATAATTGAATAAGGGCCCAATCCTATGCATGTTTGACAGAAATAAATCATACAATTCCCAGCATGCCCCAGCATTTTTGTCTAACCATGCTAAGATTTAACAAACTTCTGATTAAGCAGATTTCTGTTTAAGCATGCATAGTATTGCACCTGAGAGATACTGAATGTACAAACAAAACCTATGAAATAAAATCTACCAGACTGCTAGAAGAGAAACCCCCTTTAACCTTTCATTCCCTACTTTTTCCTGTTTTACCACAGTAACACACTAGAGATATCAAATAAGTAAAACCTCACTTTTTAGATAACTGAAGGAAATGTGCAAAGATAATTTAATCAATAAAATTTAAGGGGTGTCCACTTTACTTTTTTCTTTTCATTCTGTAGCATAGTAACATTCCAGGGAAACCAAATCATCTTTCTTTAAGATGTGTGTCTTTAATGTGCTTGCCCTCTGATAATCAATACACCTAATCAAGCTCACCCTTTGGTTGATTAATCTGCTAATTAAAGTTAACAGACCTAATTCTGCAGTAAAAGCATCCCCATAATCTGTTCTCAGTTATTTTTTATCCCAAGAGCGATAGACTTGCCGTATTTTATCTCCCAACAAATGCTGCTATGCTCCCCCAGGGTTGGCTTTCTCTTAACAAGCAAGCAAGCAAGCAAACCTTCTATTCTAATTTTATTGGAAGGGTGGGGTAAAAATGTTTTACATGAATAAATAACTCCGATTCTCCTTTCCAAATAATAACATGGGAGCACTTACCAATGGCAAAGAAATAGATGAGTAGTGACAGTGATTCCATCTTTGGTGAGATGCTTGAAGTATAGAAGCCTTGAGGAAGTTGGCTTGTGTTTAGATGGATCACACACTGTAGAAGAAGTTGGTGCTTAAAGCTTAACACTGTATGTGTGACAAGTAACCCTCACTGGTCTTTGCAAAATGTGGGTGTGAAACAGGGTAGAAGGGGAAGCTGAGTCAACACATGGTTTATTTTGACCACAGGAGAGGCTGAAATAGATAAATTATTATTCCAAGGATCCAAACTGCTCAAAAATTAGTAATCAACCATTTCTTCTATTATTCTATTGTTACTTTATTCATACAAGGTGTGTTGCAGTACTATTCCATCAATAAGTATAGTGCTTGACAACATATAACTCCCAGCCCCAGAGAGTTTACAGTCCAAAATATGACACAGGGGAGACCATGGGCAGAAGGAATAAACAAGGAAAGATTATGCTTTTAGTTCAGTTATACCAAGCCTTAGTTTCAGCAGAAAGTGATGAGCATGGGAATGGGCGGAAAACCTCATGGAAAAGTTAGGTTTTTCAGACTGTTTTTAATAAATTTGGAAATGTTGTCTTTGAAAAACGCTGTGGATGCTCTTGACCACTGCAAATGCTGGTCTTCCACACATCCGAACCCAGCTTATGAGATCTCACTGGCATCATGTTCAGATGTTAAAGTCTGTCTTTACCACCTTTTTTTTTATTATTATTTTTTATTAAAACATTTTTATGCCGCCCCATTCGCCAAAGCCTCGGGGCGGCTTACAACAATAAGTTAAAAATAAATAACATTAAATTAAAAATATAAACATTAAATTAAAAATACAAAAATAACAATATAAAATAAGCCGCCCTGGCCAGATAAAATCCAATAATATTAACAATTAAAATTCTGCTTAAATAAAAAGGTCTTCGCCTGGCGCCGAAAAACAAATAACGACGGCACCAGGCGGACCTCTCTGGGGAGCGCATTCCATAACTTAGGCGTCACCGCAGAGAAAGCCCTCCTCCGAGTACCCACCCTCCTAATTTCTTTCACGGAGGGTTCCCGGAGAAGGGCCTCTCCCGCAGATCTCAAGGGGCGGCCGGGCACATATGGATGTAAGTGCTCCTTCAGGACTTGGAATCTGCTGCCCAATAAAAGGAAAAGTGAAATGTCTTGAGTGCTGAATTTTCTGTTTGCTACTCATGCAGTGCTCATAGAGCATGATAGTGAAATGCTCACTGCCCAAAATCTATTACTGGACTACAGTGGGTCAAACAATAGGACTATACTTCCCTTCCAACACTTGATTCAAGGTGAAAGATTTGAGACATGCTTTTATCTCTTATGCAGGAACAGGCTCTATGTTTTGTTTCGCAGTGTCTTAGTTTGCGGCAGAAGAGTGTAAGAAATGGTTCAGGTTGGAAAGAGGCAGATCAGAAAGATAAGCTCTTACACCTTGCCCACTTCCTCCCCTTTTCCTGCAGTGAACAAATATGGCATTGCTGACCCCCTTTCTTTCTTTCTTTCTTTCTTTCTTTCTTTCTTTCTTTCTTTCTTTCGTCTGTTTGTATCTTAGCTTTCCTTCTGGCTCTCTGGTGAGTTGCAATGAGTTTTTTCTCTGCAGCTTGACTTGGGCTGGTTTCTGAAACAGAAGGCACCAGTAAACAGAAACAGTTTACGCTGGGTTTATGCAATACTACGCCAAGAGTTATATGCCTTTTTCTAATTTTGCATAGGATTTCAATATTAGTTAAATTAATTTAAACTTTATTAAACACTTAATAACATTTAATAAATGTATTTTGTATTTTATTTGATGTTGTAAGCCGCCCCGAGGCCTCGGCAAGGGGCGGCATAGAAATGTTTTAATAAATAAATAAATAAATAAATATGTTCAACATTGTTTAATCTTGTAGCAGATCTGCTGGATTTACATACGACATACTTGCTGCAATTCAGAGCATGTCGGGCACGGCATGCACAAATTGGATATAAAGCTAGTGGTGGTGGGAGGGTGGTTCAGAAGCAATTCCATAAATTAGGAAGCTCCTATAAATTTCAGAATAAAAGCTGCAATGGATAAAGAGCCCTACTAACATTGGAGTCACCAGCCTCTCCTGGTGGCATGTAGCACCAATTTATAAAGACAAGCACAAAAACACAATTGGAACAAAAGAGGGGCAATGGTTTACCAGGAACCAGAAAATTAGGAAATCCTACTACACAAATAGGCACCCGTATAGTATATTGTACTATTCACCCCATTACTCAAAGCAAGGAGAAATTCCAAGGCTGTGAAGCTTGCCTGAGCTTTCTTTCAGGAGAAGATCATTGGAAGTTAACAGCACCTTTAAACATTTGGATTCATTTGTAAAAATACAGGTAAACCATAGGTTGAGGTACAGCTAGCATAGATGGAGGTATAGCAGGCTGCCAAGTCCACGGTTCCTACATCAGACTGTTTAGGACACAGCCAGCAAGATGCTTTCAGAGCATAAGCTTAGCTTCTACCTCTGCCTTTCATCTCTTGCAGATCCCAGACTGATTCAAAGTAAATTTTTTAAGCTGGTTTCAACGCCATTCCCTCCCTGGCATCAACTGCAATTCAGCAAAGGCTATCTAGTTGAACAGCATATCCATCCATCAGATTTCAATTTCTAGGACTCTTTGTAGGGAGCCATGACAGATAAAGTGGTATCAGACCAATAATTTGCAACTGAGATATGCTCACATAGAAATAAAGTGAAACATAATATACTGTGTGGTTGAGAGAAAACTTCATTCAGAATACAGTTTGGGGCTACTCTGCGGATAGGGGTGAAAAATACAATTATATTGAAACAAAAAGCAGACCATGATCTGCTTGTTCCCTGATAAGTTTCTCTCTTTTATGAAGAAAATGCCATTTTACTTCCTTCTACAAATTGGTAATTTGAGGGTGGGTGAGGTGGTTAAATGAGTTGAAAGCAGTCATTTCCACATCTTGGCCATTTTTTTTCTTGGTGGTTTTTTCAAAACCACTGACATTTCTTTAGTCAGAGGTGTTAATGGAAAAGAAGCAGTGTTTGTGTGTGTGTGAGTGAGTGTGTGCGCACACGCGCTAGCATATGTGTACTAGGAGGACTTCCAGATGAGGCTTTTTATACTCTGCATTGTTCCTGGAGGTGCTTCTGCAGGTGGGCAATGCTGATACTGTCAACCCATAACTCCTGAGTTTTTCCACTGCTTTGCCCATCTTTTCTCTTAATCTGTTCAGAAAAATCTTTTCAGGAAAAAAATGATGGAATGACCACAATACCTTCTGATTTTTAACACCAGGATCTCATCTTGTGTATATACAAATGAGAAACAGTACTTTTTCCAGACCACCTCAGTTTAAACCCTCAGAAAAACTGAGATAAAAACGGGCAGATAAAAAAGGGAGATGCTTTGGCATTTTATTTATGAAGCACCTAGAGCTGCTGCAAAAATTAGAAATAACAACACAGAATTTGCCCCGCGACTTACCACCTAAAACAGAGAAGGGGAACCTTCACCCCACAAGCTTCATTTTGCTTGCCAGTTTGACCCAACTAGCCTGAGGAAATCTCCTTCACTCTTATGTGCCCTGCCCTCCTAGGTTTCATAGTTGGTGGATTGCACTCCACAGCACAAAACACACACTATTTCATAAACAAACCTCCAAGTTATATTTAAACAAAGGTTTCTCTCCTCAGACCAAAAGCAGCAGGTATCATCCTCAGCCACTGCCTGGCTATTCCCTATCCAGACCAAATCCAACAGTGCTTTCATGTTGTTACATCAGTCTTTCCCATGTGCAGGTCTCTTAATAACTTCCCCACTTTGAGCAGGTCTTAATCCAGTGCTTACATCTTCCAAGCTTCCATCCTTTATTCTGCTTCCTTCTAGATTCAGAGTGTGTCCATCTGCACTCTCTTCTGAACCTGTCTCCCCTAGACTATACTCTGGGGTGTCTGTACCCTGATCCACACATGGCAGGATTCCATTTTTGCCCCATCCTGTAGGATACTTTCGTTGGCTACATGCTTCTTCCTCATTTGAATTTATGGTAGCAATAGAAACCATCCATCCATCTGGAAGCATGACTTTGGGGTGGGGTGGGGTATGGTATAAGATCAGTATATACTGGAGCATTTGCATGTATTTGTATACAACTTCCCAAGTGCCCTCACATGAAACCTCTGGGATCCTAATATATTCAGGATTAAATTATGTTCTTTATTGTGGTGTATAGGGCCATAAAGCTGACCTGGCTGTTGGGCATTAACTTTTTCCTTCTGAGGACTTTTTTGTCTCAGAACTTTCCCAACAAAGTGGAAGAACTGTGCTTCCAGGACTGGAAGAAAGGTGAAAACTCAAGGAACTGTGAGAAACAACCTAAGTCTCAGTGCCTGGAGAAAATATATTTTCTCTTATGTAAGAGATAGCTGGTGAAGTGCTGAGGACTCTCAGTGTTTTCTTTCTGGTTGCTACTGAAGCATGATAGGTAAAAGGCTGGTTTGCATATTGCATGGGATATTCAGGCTGGGCTTCCAGGGATAAACCCCTGCAAGATGAGTCCTGAAAAGGAGCCATGGTGGTTCAGCATCATAAGAACCTTAGAAGCTACCTTCATAGAATCATAAAATAGTAGGGTTGGAAGGAGCCAAGGCCACTGAGTTCAACCCTCTGCTGGTGCAGGACACCAATTGCACCATCCCACTCAGATAACTGCCCATCTTCTTCTTCAATGCCTCCAGTGTGGAAGAGCACACAACCTCTCTTGGCAACTGGTTCCACTGTTGTATTGCTCTAACAGTTAGGAAATTCTTCCTTGTGTCTGATCTGCACCTGCACTGTAGTTTAAATTTATTGTGCTGTGTCCTACAATCTGTAATGAGTGAGAATGAGTCAGACCATTGGACTATCTAACACAGTATTGTCAGTGCTGACTGGCAGCTGTACTCAGGATTCTTTTCTAGTTGTACCTGGAAATGATTGGGATTGAACCTGGAACCTCTTGCATATAAACCATGTACTCTACCACTGACCATCTTATTTGTCTCTTGAGAAACCTATATGCAGGTCAAGAAGCAACAGTGAGAACTGGGCATGGAACCACTGATTGGTTCAAAATTGAGAAAGGAGTTTGGCAAGGCTGTATACTGTCGCCCTGCCTATTTAACTTATATGCAGAGCACATCATGAGAAAGGTGGGGCTAGATGAATCACCAGTTGGAATTAAGATTGCTGGGAGAAATATCAACAACCTCAGATATGCAGATGATACCACTCTCATGGCAGAAAGTGAAGAGGAACTAAAGAGCCTCTTGATGCGGGTGAAGGAGGAGAGTGCAAAAGTTGGCTTGAAACTCAACATTAAGAAAACTAAGATCATAGCATCTGGTCCTCTCACTTCCTGGCAAATAGATGGGGAAGAAATGGAGGTAGGTTGTTTTAGGGGCTGGAAGTGGGCACCACAAAGGCCTTGCTGTACCCAGTGAGACTCTAATGGAGGCAGTGCTGAGAAAAGCACCTTCCTTGAAGAAAGTAAATTTTGGACAGGCTTCTTGAAGGTGGGGATAAAGAACCGAAGGCCATAACCCTTCCATAAACCACTTCACCTTTTCTCCAACCACCCACATTTTGTGGTTTCCCAGTCTTTGTGCAGTTTCTTCCCTATTCTAAAAAGATGAAATGCTCTTCTAAAGCTTAATTCCTAGTAGTAAGAACTTTAAAGTATGAGGGTATTTTTAGTATAATGGTATAATACCCTTTGAATATTCCACATGGTGCTAAGGCCTGTAGGACAAAAACTTGGCATGCTTTTCTTGCTTTTACAATAGCAGGCTACGTCCCTGTTTTCATACGTGACATGCTAGAAGGCAAGGTATGGCAGTCATGGTTAAGATAAGGGACTATCCATAAAACATGGCACATGCATATGGGAAAGGCAGTAGACAGGTTGAGACAAAAAAGGATTAAGAAGATGCTGACACAGTACAGATTCTACAGAGAGTCCCTAGGAAGTGAGCATGATGTTAACTCATGAAACAAACAAGTGATTCTTTAAGGAGTCAGAACTGACCATTCTAGTTTTTAACCACTGACATCAGGATCAGCAAATCCACCGTTGTAGGTTGTACAGAAGAGAAGCAAAAGAAGACCGGATTTATGGGTGGTTAAGTATTAGTGCAAAAATAACATTCTGTAACAGGATCTTTTTAGAGATTAATATTTTATCATATAAGGAATGCTCATTCCATACCCTGCTGTTTCAAAGAAACCCAAACACCTTTCCCATGTTCAGCTGCATGTATCATAAAGAGCCTCTTGATGCGGGTGAAGGAGGAGAGTGCAAAAGTTGGCATGAAACTCAACATTAAGAAAACTAAGATCATGGCATCTGGTCCTCTCACTTTCTGGCAAATAGATGGGGAAGAAATGGAGGTAGTGACAGATTTTATTTTCCTGGGCTCCAAGATCACCGCAGATGGGGACTGCAGCCAAGAAATTAAAATACGCTTGCTCCTTGGAGGAAAGCTATGGCAAATCTAGACAGCATACTAAAAAGCAGAGACATCACCCTGCCAACAAAAGTGTGTATAGTCAAGGCTATGGTTTTCCCAGTTGCGATGTATGGCTGTGAAAGCTGGACCATAAGGAAGGCTGAGTGCAAAAGGATTGAGGCCTTTGTATTGTGGTGCTGGAGGAGACTCCTGCGAGTCCCTTGGACTGCAAGGCAATCAAACCGGTCAGTCCTAGAGGAGATCAACCCTGACTGCTCTTTAGAAGGCCAGATACTGAAGATGAAACTCAAATACTTTGGCCACCTAATGAGAAGGAAGGACTCCCTGGAGAAGAGCCTAATGCTGGGAACAATAGATGGCAAAAGAAGAAGAGGACAGCAGAGGATGAGGTGGCTGGATGGAGTCACTGAAGCAGTTGGTGTGAGCTTAGGTGGACTCTGGGGGATGGTGGTGGACAGGAAGGCCTGGAGGAGTGCTGTCCATGGGGCTGCAATGGGTCGGACACGACTTTGCGACTAACAACAACAACTACCACTGAGCTGTATGGTTTTCACAGCAGCCAGGCAGATGCTGCTGAAAAGCCTGAAAGCAGAGTGTGAAAGCAACAGCATCCCTACTGATGTCTGATAAAACTGATAAGAGGTCATCAGAAGTGTACTGTTCCTGAACACAGAGATGCTATTCAGCTATCATGGCTCATAGCCAACTGCTACACCTATTCTCAAAAGGGCAGGCCAAGCTATACCTCTAAATCAGTCTGCTAGCCAGTAGCATGGTGACTGCTTTGTGCATTCTTTTGCTTAAAGGTTAACAACTGGGGGGCAGCACGCATGGGCCAAATGGTCACTGCAAGAGGGCCAGATTTTGGCTTTGGAGATGCCAGTTGCTGGCTGATGCAGTACATAGAAGTCACCCTTGCCCAGCTTGGGTTCCTGTGTTACAGAAAGGAGGGTAAGAATGTGATTGTGGTAATTTATGGTCATATTTGACCAGCAGTAAAAGGTTGCTCTTGCAAATTCCCTGGCAAGAATATACTCCCTGTTTATGAGAAGCAGATTGTATCATGTTTTGTGAATAGTTATGGTGACTTATGGAAAGTTCTTGGGATTGGGCTGTCTCTGAAGCAAAGTAGCTAAATAATTCATTTTTCTTTTGTCTCAGAGGCTGCTGTGACAAGGAGAAAGGAAGAAAAACAGGTCCTCAACAGGTAATGGTGCACAAGGAGAACAGGGCTAGGTGCCCTCAGGAAGATGCCAAAACTGCAGCCAACTGAGGAAATATGGGAGTGGGGGACAAAGTAAAGAGCAGAGAGAATTTGCAAGCAAACACACTTTACAGGATGGAAAAGGCAACTGTCATATCTGATTTAAATATGGGAAAGTTGGAAACCCCATCTCATTGAGCATCAGAAAATCCACATAAAAATGTAACTCTTTCCCTTGGGATATTAACTCCCCTGGGAAGCTTAACTCCCTTGGGAAGTTGGATATTACACAAATCCTCCAGAGACGAGTGCTGTCCTTCCTAAACATCAGAGACTCAAGAAAGAGAAGATGTGCTCCGAATATCAGAGAACCCACAGAGGAGACAGCACAGTCAAACCTCAGAGAATCCATCCTATAGAGAAGAGCTGGGGTCTCTAGAATGCAGCAAAGCCTTCAAAGAGGGGGTAGCTTTTCATTGGCACTAAAGGCTTCATGCTATACAGCTTTGTGGACTGTGGAGCGATGTTCTGCTGGTGCTCACACCTCAGCCTTCATCATCAAAAGCATGGAGAAAAGTAGGCTTGCAAATGCACCAACTGCAAGAAAAGCTTTCAGCAGAACTCAAAGCTTTTACAACACCTGATAAGCCACATGGGCAAATGCCATGCTGATGTGCTGACTGAAGGAAAAGCTTATTTCAGCCACTACACTGGAAAGTGCTCATACCAGTATGCTGGGGTGCAGCAGTTGTTTTCATCAGCAGGTCCATCTGGTGCAAAACCAGAACACCCATGTCAGGAAAGGTAACAGTGTACCAGACTGCCCGCTTCACTGGTGGTAAAGACTGCACCACTTCAAACTGCTGGCAAAGGTAGGCATAATGAATGTTTGAATGTCTTCCTTGGCCCAAAAACATACTATGCATGGACAGAAAAGTGTGCCAGAGAGCAGTTCAACCTTGCCTATTTCCTGACATGCTGGTTAGTTTTTGTCTTTTGTTTTCATGTGCAAGACATTTTCTCCCCATGAGCAAACATTTAAAGTGGATTCTTTTTTCCTCTTCATATTTTTTCCCTTTTGCATCAAGTCTTTTAGACTGTGAGCCTGTGGGCAGGGACGGTCTAGTTTTTGATAACGTTGTGTGAGCTGCTGTAGGAGCGTTTTTGTCCAAAGAACAAGGTACCCTGATTGGGGCTGAATGGAGTTTGCTGCCTTAACATAGAGCAGTGGTGGTGAACCTATGGCATGCATGCCACAGAGGGCACGCAGAGCCCTCTCTGTTGGCACAGGAGCCAAGTCGCCCAGCATCGCACCAGCAGCTGAGCATCAGATAACAGCGCACATAGGGGCCATGCGCATGCTTGGAAAGGAGTAGCGGCGCCAGGCAATGACAACACAAGCTGCGACTCATTAACTGCGACTCATCTGAACTTTCACATGGCCGGTCAGTGCACTGCCAAGGATATATATATATATTTGCTTGAACTAGCTGTGAGTTGTTTTTTCTAAACTAAAACCTCAGTTTTCAGGTTTTCTTGCGGTGTTGGCATTTGTGATAAATAAGTGGGTTTTGGGTTGCAGTTTGGGCACTTGGTCTCTAAAAGGTACAACCATCACTGGGTTAAGGTTAGGAAAATGAGGTGTCCTGCTAAGATTTTGATAGTTGGAATTTGTTTAGAATCAGCAGAAATGATGAGCTGTGCAGAAAAAGCTGCTGATGAAGACTTTTTCAAAATCACCCTATTTCACTGGAAGTTCAGCCTCATATTGGGGTTAGGGGTATGCATCAGGACAGGGTTAGGGTTAGAAAAATGAGGTGTCCTGGGATGGTTTTGATGGTTGGAATGTGTTTAAAATGGACAGAGTAGCTTTTTTTGTGCAGAAAAAGCTACTCAAGGAGGGCTTTTTCAAAATGCCCTCTTTTCAATGGAACTTTACCCCTATATTAGGGTTAGGGGTGTGCATTAGGGTAGGGTTAGGCCAGTGATGGTGAACCTATGGCACGCGTGCCACAGAGGGCATGAACAGCCCTGTGTTGGCATGTGAGCCCAGTCATCCCAGCAGTGCCCCAGCAGCCAAGTATGGGATACCAGTGCACATAGAGGCCATGCGCATGCTCAGAAAGGAGTGGTGGTGCCAGGCGATGACATTACAAGCTGCAACTCATTAACCATGGCTCATCCAAGCTTTTGCATGGCCAGTCAGTGCACTGTCAAGGACATGTGTGTGTGTGTGTGTGTGTATTTGCTTGGACTGGCTGTTTTTGGGTTTTATTGCAGTGTTGACACTTTGGAATAAATAAGTGGGTTTTGGGTTGCAGTTTGGCCACTCTGTCTCTAAAAGTTTCACCATCGTTGACATAGAGCTAAGTGTATCAAACAAGAACAGAGTGTGATAACATGAAGAACAGAATTTTGTGCTCAGCAAGGAAAAAATGTGTGTAAAAAGAAAGTTTGCACGGACATGCTTATTTTTTATTTTTTGTGCATTCAAATAAAGGACATTTTGGATGAGGATTAGGTTAACAGAAAGAAATGTATAGAAGGAAGGGGATGGAGTTTAGGTTAAAAGGGCCAGTACAGTGGGAGGGATTGAAGAATAGAGGAATGTCCAGGCCACCACTGCCCATCCCCTGACAGACAGTTTGGAAGCATGCTCAGGCATTCCTCTTCTTTCTCATTCTGCAGACACTGCCCATGTTCTTCAGTTTGACTTTGCCAACTACAAGGTCAGAAAAGGTTTACTTTCTAAACCAATAAGATGGGCAGGATTCCAGACCTGATGCTGGATTCTGTGTTTGTCCTATGTTTGAAGCTTCTGTTCCACCAGATTGTACGTGGACACAATTTGGGTATCTTCTAGAATATGGAGTGGAATTAGAATTGAGTATGACTGTGGAGGACATAGACTCTACACACTTTGGGTCTTCTAAAGAGGGGTTGTGACTGAGTGTGCTGATATGCTAAAGTGTGAGTGGGTGCTGTAAAGACCACCCACTATTCCCAGGAAATGGGGTGATTATTGCCCTTCTGGTTCTGGAGTGTAGATAACCAAAGGCTGGCAGTTCTTGCCCTTATCATGCCAGCAGACATCAAAGAAGGGGTAGACAGTGCCTGCGAAACGCTCATGGAAGGCAAAGATCTGCATCAGGTTGTCTTCATCACTGGCATCATAGAAAGCAAGGATGCCATCATCAAAGCTGAGGTAGATGCCAATACGGCTGGGTTTTGACTCCAGCTTCAGTGGCCGCGGCTCTTTATGCTCTATGTAGGCCTCGTAGTTCTTGCCTTCTTTGCACCCCACCAGCCAGAAGCCATTGGACGGGATGGCATGCAAGCGGCCCTTGCGCCCAGCCTCTGCCGAGATGAGGCCGACGGCCCAGCGGAGCTTGTCGTTCACCGTCACCTCCCAGTAATGCTCGCCCTGTGAGAAGCTCTGGTGTGTCACCAGACAGTTGCTCTTGTCAAAACGCTGCGGGTCATCTGTGTTCACAGCTTGTTTGTGATCCACACATTCCACTCGCTTGCCATCCTCTGACACTACAAGATTGGCTTGTGCAGTGTCTGGGTCAAGGGTCAGGTTCTCCAGTCCTGGGGAGGATGAAGGAAAAGATATAAGGGAGGTGTTTCCTCTTAGTTCTTAAGGCACAGATAACATTAATGGATTGACTTTTCTTCTTTGCTTGTTTTAAAACCAAACACTGGGGGTTGATTTAGAATCATCTGTCCATGTTTGATGTCATATCTTAATTATACAGAAATTGCTAGTGATTGTTTTTCTAGTTTTTGGGTGGTGGATTTGAATAATCCCATAGCTAGTGTAAAAGATCTCATTTTCTCTTTATTGTTCTGTTGATCAAAAACATATTGCCTATGGAGATTAGCAGAAACCCCTATATTCTGATATAGCTCAACACTGCCTTCTAGAGCATCTGGTAATGGTTCCTGCCTAAAGAGGTTTGTGTCACCATCTTGTTCTCCAATATGCACCCAAATATATAAAGCTATTTTTTTAGAATAGGCTGGCATTCAAACATCTTTTGAGGTCTGAGTCATTAGGAACCTGATTTAGGAACTCACTTAGGAAGTGAGTCCAACCACAAAATAATATTCAGATGTTCTGCTTAAACTCCTGGCAGTAAAAGTGAAGACTATTGTGTGATTGCACAAAAGCACAATTTTTCTGCTAAGGGGTTGACCTTTACTGAACTCAGATTCCTAGAGAACCTTCCAGGAGGAGGTCAAAATATTTTCTTTTTTGTAATGGACTCTGTATATACTCTGGAACACCAGACTTTATTCAAGTAACATTCAGACTACAGGTAACAAGATAAGTTGACTTAATTTTAATTGGAATTCTGTGTGCGATTGCTGTCTTCTGTTGTTGTTTTACTTCCCACCTTCCCAAATAAACATTTCAAAAACTATTTGAATATTTAGCTGTGCTGTTTTCAAAACAGAATTCTTACTAAACTCTTCCCCATATGAAGGGCTGAACATCTAGAAAACTCCCATTTGTGCTTTCAGGATTTTCATAATGTGGGTTTTTATTTTTATTTTAGTTTTGTGTTTCTAGAAAATCCACATCACCTTTCTTGTTAGATTTTTTTTTGTAGGACTGAGCTGAAGTGAAGGGTCCTTGACAATAGGGCTCAGAAACTCCCTAAGCAACTGGACAAGGTGGAGTGTATTGGGAAGTTCATCTTCATCCTCACTGCTGGCAATTACCTTTCTGTAATTCTGTTTGGGAAGAAGCATTGTAAAGAGGGGGCTCAGCAGTAAAAACACATCCTCCTTTCTTTCCAGTCTGCAACAGATCTTTACCTGGCATCAGTGCACGGAACATCTTCCTCCACACCTGGAACTTGAACTCATCTGAAATGATGGGGAGCTGGATGTCCATGCGAGCCATGGGTGGGGACTCCCCTAGAATCTTTTGCAATCTACAGCAAGAAGAGACAGTTGGCATTGTGGGAGGGAAAAAATGAATAGTATACTTTGCAATTTGTGGGCATTCGTTTTCCATTTAATCTTTTAAATGTCTGTTTTAAGAACCATTCACATTTTGAAGGTGTTAAAGAGAAGCAATGCTGGCTATGAGTTTATAAAGGGACAATGGCTCACCTGCTAGCCACTAGACAGTATTTCTGTGGAGAAAGAAAAAGAATTTAGAGCAGAATACATGGAGATAGTCTCTATATTCTATACTAAGCATGTCAGAACAGGTGCCCCATGAAAAACATTCACCCAGGAATTGTGAGGGATATGCACTGAAAGATGCATATATTTTAGAGAGGCAAAGTGGTGGGATGAGACATTAAAATGGCATTTAGAGGACAGTAGAAAAGGCATGTTTTAGAACAGTATGAATTCTACAGCCCATAAATTGTGTGTGCCCTGATTGCAATACTGCAAGCTTCATGCTCAAAACATGACAGTAATTAGGACAACTAATGAGGATGTTGGGACATGGGGAATGGAAAGCAGAGTGGATCAGTGTTTGGTTGCTGTCAAGCACAGAAGGATTTGTTTGGCAGAGTAGGGATTTTGTTCCTCTGATCTGGAAACAGCATAAAGAGCTGGAAGCATAACAAAGGACAGGATGCAATGTTCAAGAAAAGTTCTGATGCTAGATCAAATGAAAGTGCACTAGAAGAAGAAATGCCAGTTTTTATAAGATATGTGGTCAAAATGAGTTATTCTTAAAGTCCATTGCAAAATGTATGAAATATCATACCTGTTATATATGTAGTGATTCATAAGCATTCTGCAGTGTGATTCATAAATGCTATGAGTGTGCTGGTTCAAAAAAAGGGCACTGTATTGAGTAATAATGGATGCACCAAAAAGCAGCATAAAAGTGCTGCTCTTCTTAAACCTGCGAAAGACTGGAAAGGGTCAGAAAGATGGGGGGAGGAGTGGGGTTGTCTCACCCTGAGAAACTCAGTCTGGGGTTCGTCTTGCACTTCCCCCAGCACAGTCTCCATCTGCTTGAGTTGCTCCAGGTAGCGAGTCATGGTCTTGCGCTCATTTTGCAGAGCGTCTGTGGCCTGGTGCTGCACTCGCTCTGCTTCCCGGCCCAGAGAACCCTCCAGAGCCCCCAGATAGGCACGCATTATACCCAGCTGCTCAGACACCTGACGCTTGAACCGAGACACTGTGTCCTGAGAAAGGAGAAACAGACATTTGGCACCTGTGCTTCTTGCTCCTGGTCTTTAGCATTTCCTTCCTACTGAACAGCTCCCCAACTTTGATTACCTTCTGTCACCCTGAGCTTTCTGTTTGACTTTCCTCGCAGTGCAACCTATGATGTATTAAATGTTGGCTTGCCAGCATTTCCTCCTCTCCTTTTGCTGAAATGTTTAGTCTGAAGTAGTTTCTTCATGAGGAGGGAACTCTGAAAAAGTCTTTCTTCATTAACAGTTGTTTATTTGCAAATTTATAGCTTTGGAATAAATGTTAAATGGCTTGTCAGTCAGGGCTTTTTTTACTTATCAGGTACTCATCATTCCTTACCCCAAGTTGTTTATGAGTTATGTAGATGCTTTTATGACCCTACAGTTTTACCTATGTATTGAAAGAGCACTTTCATTAAGCTTGTTTAGAGCAGGGAAAATGCACTATTTAAGTGTTAATACAAAATGAACTTTTTCTCTCTCTTGTCTGCCACTTATCAGTTGTTTAACAGAAAAGCAGGAAGCTGCTCTTGTAATGTTTGGATCTCAATTCTGTGATGAAACTGAAAATAGATACAGTTGATTAACAACCTTGAGGTGTTCCGCAGGATATTACCAGTAATGCACCTTTGTAGGTTCTTAAAGCATATCTAAATGGCAGACTTAGGCAAGCTTCCTCATCCTGGGGAACCCTGGGAATTGTAGTTCAATGAAGAGGAGTTGAGTAACTCCAGCAGAGTTGTCATCATTTGTTCCATAATACAATTCCCAAGCTTCTTTGGTGGAACTCATAATGGCATCTAAGCTAGGGTAAAATGTATATTTGACTCACCTCCACTTCAGCTATTTGCCGGTTCAACAGGGCAATAGTTTTCTCCTTGCGCACCTGGGCCTCTTGCAGCTGGACTTGCTGCTGTGGAAGCTGCTTCTACAATTGAACCAAGAAGAACACATGGGGGAAATGGTATAGGTCTAATTTAGGATGAGGAAGGAGGGTACTGTAACTACATTTATAGCTTAAAACACCTATTTACCCAGTGAGGGCTCAGAGTAGACTTGGTAAGCAAATGCCACACTAAATATCTGAAATGTAAGCTTCAGCTCAGTGGCAAAGTGCATGCTTCACATGCAAAATATTGCAGGTTCTGATGGGCAGGGAGGGGAAGAGACTGGAGAGGCCAGAACACAAGCTATCCTGAACCTCTTTTAGCTTCTCCTCCTTCCACTTCAAAGTCCCTTTGCGAGATGGGCCAGAAAGATATTGTGATTGTGTCTATGTCGAAAAACACCCATTGCCCTGTCTAAACCCCATTTACAACTCCCAAAGAGGGGTGGGATTCACTCCTGCACTTTCCCAGGCAGCTCAAGTTTCACAGAAAAGTGCAAAAGGGAGAGGACCCAGAAGAAAGTCGGGGCGGGGGGGGGGGGGGAAAGAGAAATGCAGAGCTTTCCACTTATGGGTTTGCTTTCCCTTGTTTGTCTTTTGACAGCTGTCAAGAAATAGAAAAGTTTGAAAACCTCTACTTGGTGCTTCTCCTGGTCAATGTTACAGGTTGCTCCCTGCTGCACTTTGACAGCTCATGCCCCCCAAGACATTGCCCAGCCAAGCCCCCCCCCCGCTTTTAGCAATCATTTTAAAAGCATAAAATATGTGTGCTTAAATTGGATAGTAGTCAGCAGAGGGGCCATAAGGAATCATACGGCACACGGGAGGGAAATGGGGACTGTGATGCCAGGTTGGAAAGGGGGGTTTATCCTGATACCTACTTTCATCCGCTGGTGGGCCTCAGCAGCAGTGATGATGTTATGCCCCTTGTGCTTGCCCAGGGAAGCGCACACCCCACAGATGACCTGCCGGTCCTGCTCACAGTAGACGCTCAGGGGGTCGAGGTGCTCCTCGCAGTGGTCATGGGGGACCTGCCGGATGCTCTCCACCAGGTGCTCCATCTGCTGGTTGATGCGCAGCTGCTCCACCTTGGTAAGGGCCTGGCAGGTGGGGCATGAGGTGGCCTTGCTGTCCTCTTCCTTGGACACCTGGGACAGGCAGTCCTTGCAGAAGGTGTGCCCACATTCTGTGGTCACGGGAGACTGGAAGAGCTTGAGGCAGATGGGGCAGCTGAGGTCTTGATGCATCCCCTGAATGAGGCGCTGCTTGGAGCTCGACATGGCGTCTGAGGGCCAAAAAAGCTGAGAAGACCAGAAATGCAGCTCATGCTCATTGGATCTCATTTCCTACCTTTTCTGCTACACAGACACATTTCAGATTGGGGTGGGGGGGCAGGCAAACATGAAAAAGAGCACACTCCTTGCTAAAAATGAGGGCATGGGATTGCACAAATATATAAATATATGCCAATGTAAATGAAGAGATGCACATTTGGAAATTACCCTATTTTTTATAGAAATACATACATCTCAGCATAGTGGGATGAGCTGACCAGGCAAACAGTGTCACTGCTTTCTCTTGACCAGCACTAACAGCCAAGGGGCGACCTCAGGGGCGACCTCAGGGTCCTCCTCTCCTTTACATCTTCAAACTGGACTTTTACCTGAGAGCCTTTCACTTAGAGCCCCCCTAGACCAACGACCCCCCCATAAGCCAGATTATTTTTATATTATTATTGTTGTCATCATTAACAGCAACAATTCTGTGTGGCTTAGCCCACGGCGGGATGCCCGGAGCACAGCTTGTTTTGACCCTTGGGGGACGGAGGGACTTTGGTGTGAGGAGACGGCAGTGAGCTCTGTCATTGTGATGAGGAGAACAGAAGGCCCCGAGGGAGGGCAGGGAGACTGAGGCTGAGAAGAAGTCAAAATGGAGCCATCCACAGATGGCCATGGAGGAGTGAGCGCAGCTGCTGCCTTCTGTCCTCACACAGGAACATGGATTTGGCAACAGCAACAACAGGGTGTGCAGCAGAGGCAGAGCCGAGGCCTGCAACTTGGGATCACAGTCAGAACAGGTTTGCACTTGCTTTCTTCCCTCTACAACCTGCTGGTTTTGTGTGTGTGTGTGTGTGTGTGTGTGTGTCTAAATATTTCTCTATATATAGCTACAGAAGCCCAGTGGTTGCTCCCCTTTTCCCGTTCAGGAAATATGATGACTGGTGAACTCCAGGCACTACTTGGGGGCCTGACTTTCTTTCCCCTCGTCCTTCCCACAGTTGAACCCAAGTCCCATAATTCCTCCTCAAAAAGGAGTTGCTGGCACAATTAGGGGAGATACAGTAATCATGCTGGTACAGTAGAAGCCTTGTATAAACACTTTCAAGCATTCAAAGTGCTTCACATGCATTATCTAGTGTGCTGAGGCCATGATGTGTGATGGTTGGAGTGTCAGACAAGGAGTCCTGAGATTGGGGTTCTCGGCTTCAGCCATGAAGCTCCCTGGGTGACTTTGGGCCTGTCGCAGATTTTCAGTCTAACCTACCTCAAAGGGTAGCAGTGAGGATAAAAAGGAGGGAAGACTGCCTTGGGTTCTTGCAAGAGGAAAAAAGGCAGGATAAAAAAGTATTCATCATTGCCATCATTATCATCTATTTGTAATCCTTACAACAATCTTGTATGATAAAACTCAGTGTTGTTACTTCTCTTATTGCAGTTGGGGGACCGGAATGGGTTGCAAGTGGTTTGTGTAAGGCCCCCCAGAGAATTTCTGGCCCTGCTGAGATTCAGACTAGATTCCCAGCTCAGTTCCTTATTTGCTGTGCTACACCTTTGTAATGAACTAGAAGCTGTTGCTTTTCCTGAAGGAGGAAAATGGCTGAGATCCAACGGAGTTTTTCCATGCAAGGAAAACGAGGGTTTTGGATATGTTCAAGTTATGGGTGTACACCAGCTCGTGCCTTGCTGGCGTTCTTTGGCAAGCACAATGGACACACCGTGTCTTCTCAAGCTCAGAAAAACTCATTTCAGACATTCCTGTGCCTTCTTAGGGTGGTAATCATTCCGGTTTTAGTGGGTAATATGTGTTAGTCAGAGCTGGGATTGGAAGGGAGGCTGCCTAATTTCATTGCCTGGGTGACAGGTTTTTGCAGCTAGACCTTGCTGCTATCCCATACTGAAAGGACTGACAGGCATATAATGAAGACAGGACTTTTAAAAGTTGGAAACATACTTTATTAACAGTAGTGACAGGGATGAGAGGAGATTTGTGATATGCATTGCAGCACTTCTACTGTCCAATAGGAACTCTCCTTTCCCACAGAAAAAATGAATCACTAATTGCACTTACTGGTACAAGCATTGCTGATTTAAAGAAATGTTTATATTTTGGGAAATGTCCACTTATGCACCATGAAGGACTTACTAGGGTGGTATCAACTGGAGAGGTTAGAACACAGCTGAGTCCTCTTTCAATAACCACAGTGCTTAAATGCCACCCAAAGGATAAAGCTCAGACTTACTTGAGCATAATGCTGAATCTGACTAGTGTGGTTTTTCATTGATGGTTTTAGTTCTGTTCTGTTTTATCTTTCTGCAGTACTTCAGTTTCT